ATCTCCGGTGAATCCGTACAGAGGAGTTGTGGTGGGTGTCAACTGATGATCCAATATCATCTTGTCAAAGGCGGATCCAAATAGAATGTTGACAAAGCTACCGTTGTCAACTAACATTCGCTTGAGCCCATTTCGGACTATGACGGCTCTTACAATAAGTGCATTGCAGTGGGGGTAGTGAACTCCTTCGGCGTCCTCCTAGGTGAAGACAATGGGTAGAACTTGGTTCCTCCGGGAGTTGCTGTCCACAATGTAGCTTGCCAAAGGGGGTGTTTAGCTTCGCGGGCGTAATTCATTTTGGCGTTTCGTGTCTCACCGCCGACATATGGGCCTCCAAATATGGTGTCTATCTCGTGTATAGGGGCCTCATCCTAGGCTTGTCGATTTCTTCGGTGCCTACGTCCTTCCCTAGGCCTCTCCGTATCACGCTCCCTTCGTCGTGGGAAAACATCCCTTTGATGGGGAGCAGCTTCTTCACGCCCACGTCGGTTGTCGTGCCTGGACGGGGGCCTATTCGCTTGGGGCGATTCATTTCTGTCCCTAGGGGATTCCAGTTGGGAGCGGTGCGCATAGTCTCGACAATCCGATGTGTCGTGTCCATAGGACCGGTGGTGTACACAGTATCCCGGTGGGTTCTGATTTAACCTATTTCTAAGTCTCAAACCCTGGCCTCGGCCTCTCCCCCTATGGGATTCTTGTGGCGTTTTCGTCTGCGAGGTGTCAGTAATTGGGTTGATATCCTCATATGCCAAGGTAGGAACCGCGTTAAAAGTGGTGGTGGCAAGTGCTTGGCTAGAACTCTCATTTCCAGCTTGGTTCATTTGGTAGTCCATCAGGTGGGAGGTCGACCCTCTAGCACGCTGCCTTTGAGGAGGTGGGAGGCAACTAGTTGCCCTGTTCCTATGCTCAATCAGTTCTTCATTGATGATTCCCGCCTCATCATCTCGAGTAGGACATCATAGGTGGTGGGATCTTGATTTTGCACGTCCCTCCAGGATAGGGTATTCATGTTCAAACCTCCTTTTAATGCGGATAGTGCCTCACGGTCGGTGACTTGCACACAATACGTCATCTCATCAGTGAAGCGTGATAGGAAGCTCTTTAAAAACTCCCCATGTGCTTGTCTCATGTCTTGGAGACGTTGGATGGGGGCCTCTCCCTCTTTCCTTACCGGGAATCTCTTCGAGAATGTTGTCTTAAACTCGGGCCAGCTTCTTATGCTCCCAGGTGGTAACCTGTTATACCAAATTTCAGTCGCTCCACAAAGTGTCAAATAGAAAGCTCTGCACTTCACAGCTGGTGCTTCTCTGGGTTGCCTCTTCTGTCATAATTTGGTATCTTTGGCATTACATAGTGGTTTGGAACCTGGGCACTCCTTAGTTCCCTCGAGAATGGCAAATTCTCATCGTCGTCGTTCAAGTCACAAGACCTCTGCTGTTCATCTGAATCATATTCCTCGGCCTCTTGCCGTGGTTGTTTGTGAGAGGTTCCCGGACGGTTCCTAGCCTATTCCTCCCTCCTCTGGCGCCTATTTCTAGGCGGAGCAACACATGGGACATTTTCATGCCTTTCCTCCGGCTGCTGGGGCATTGAAGGTGGAGGCGGTGGCTTTGTCCAAGGCTGGTGTGTCTGCTGTTGCCTAAACCTCGGTTCAGCGGGGCTAATTCTGTCAAATACACTGTCTATTCTCCTATGTCTTGACTCTTGCTCATACAGAGGTAGGAAGTTATCATGGTTTAATGGAATCTCGGTGGGTCGGCCCGAAGCGTAGTTGGAGGAAACATCAACTTCCACTTCCCTTTCAAATGGGCTTCTACCTCGGCTATAGTCCGGCGAGGCAGTTCTATGACTTTCAATTTCGTCTTCTTGTTGGTAGTGTCCCTGAGGGGCGTATGGAGGAATGGAGAAGCTTCCCTGGCATTGCATTTAGGCTATGAGCTCCCTCATAGCCAAGTTTTGGCTAGCAATATCTCTCATGTTGGCCGCCATGGCAGCCATTTCTCTTGACAGTCGTGCCGTCGCCCGCAATCCAACTCTTCTTTGGTGGTGGTGGAGTCTTTGTTGAGCTGCTAGGGCAGCGTGTGGAGGAGGTATATTTGCGTTTTCTCTTACCCTTCTGGGGGGTGTGTCTTCGTTTGAACTCATTTTCTTTTCGTCTGACTCTTCAGATTTTGCTAAGTTGTGCGGCTTCCTCTTTTTTTTTTAAGAACAAATCATTTTTCAAGGGGGATGCCCAAGTGTTCTTCAATAAGCTTTCACTACAAGGTTGTTCGTGGTTATGGTATGGTTTCCCACAGACGACGCCAATCTGTTGACCCAAAAAAGTGTTGCCAACAGATGCCGGACCCACCCACGCACGCGTGAGCGAAGGTCCTACACGCTAAGACACGTGGATGTCTAAGACGAAAGAATCAGGGGCGTGGGATTAGCTCAACGACGCGGGATGAGAACGTTCGGAATCCGGCGGGATGTTCGTAATCCGATTGTACAATAATTACCAATCGGTGCTCATGAATGTGAATGTAAATATGTATGAAATCGTATTGTGTTGTAAGATAATATGAAAGAGAGAGTAAATTGTGTTTTCTTGTATTGATTATTGCATTAGTTCTTCAATGTTATATAAGGGAAGTATTTATAGTATTACATGTGAAATGATAGCCCTTAGATGAGGTGGCAGGTGGCCTCCTCTCTTTAATTCAAACATCCAATTCTAGGCATCATCCTTGACTTGCTAGCTTGCTGTACATTTATTGCTTATGCAGAGCCCCCATGTTAATGACAAGACTTGACATGTATACTTATGACAAACGTTCTATCAATCATTTTAACAAGATCTTTACGTAGAAGATCTCTTGGGAGGTGTGATCATGGAAGATATTCTTTCATGGTTCGGGGCTTCTGCTTTAGCTTTGGATTCAGGGTTTTTGCCACTTATGTAGTACTTCTGCTTTAGGGATTCGGCTATCTTCACAGGCCTCGGCATATGGGCCTCGGATGTACAAACCACCTCGGCTAAAGCGCCACGTGATTCAAATTGAGTGGGCCATAGGCTCACGTAGGTTGACCAAGTATGACAACACGTAATAATATCCATGTTAGTCCAACCAAAATTCTTCATTAATGTATCACTTGTCCATGCACAATCACAGTCATTGATACAAACACATCACCTATTTCCACCATCTGCACTATTTTGCCCACAAATATATTACCACCCTCCCATTAAGACAGGGTTTCTATTTTCAGATTAAGAAAGTGTAATTAATATTGTTAAAATTATAAATTTTTCTTATCTTTTTCCTAATATACCATACATTAAATAATGATTTAAATAGGATTAGTTTATTTTTGTTGATAACAAGGTAAATTAAATAAGGACATATTAGAAAACTAAAAAGATATTTATATTTTGAATAAAGGAAAGTGACGTATAATTTGGATAGACGAAAAAAGGAAACCAAGTCTATCTTTATAGAAGATGATAGATGTAGTACAATCAAGCCATTAAAAAAAATAAAAATAAAAAGTTCATTCTTTTCCTCAAACTGTAATTTGAATAAAAATAGATTACTTTATAAAGAACTAACCACCAAATGACGAAGATCCATTAAGAGGAGACCGGTGCCTGTACTTTCGGTTACCTGAATCATTCAAAGGCTTTCGAAATTCCGCCGTCAGATCAACATTTGAATCCATACTTCCGTTTCCTGCAAGGAAACACAAGATCACAATTTTTTTTTCTTATTAAAAAATAAAAGCTTCATTTAAGACCCAAAAAAAAAAAAAACGTGAATTAATATCCGACCACATGTAAGTCGTAACATACGAATATGTTTATATACGCACATACATATGGTATATGCGTACTAAGAGACAAAGGAAAAAAACGATTTGTGCTTGTAATTTTTAACTTTTACTATTTTTCCCTACTCATTTTTTTTTTTAATTTGAATTTCAATGAAAAGAGGAGTTTTCTAAATTTTAGTTATACAATTTTTCTAAATTCATTTACCTAATAATTTTATATTAGTGGAAACAAATTAATAATATTTTTGTGCAATAAATTATTTACTCAATTGTAACCATGTTACTTCAACATTTGTCAAGAACTTGTATTGAGATCAAAACAACCAAAATAATAATAATAAATCAAAAAAATTAGAGGTGTTGATTTAGAATTGAAAGAAAATTGTAATCTAATCCCAAACAAGGTACAAGAATGAAAGGTGATAATATATTTATATATTAAAATTATTGTTAATTTTGCAATGGTCAAAGAGTATGGATACTATTTTTAATTCTTCTATTGAGTATCCATCGATAAAAAAAAAATGCTAGTTATCATTAAAAAAAATAGATTAAGCCCCGTTTTGGTACCCATTTTTTTCAAAATGCATTTTTTACTTTCTTCTTTTCGACCACACATTCTTCATTAAAATAATATTACACGTAAATAAAAAAAATTTCATTATTTTTCAACCACACATTTTCCATCAATATACTATTCAAAAATGGATTTTTACATAAAAATAGCTCCCAAATGTTTCTAGACTAAATACAAGTCAATAATTTTGAGAAAGTGTGGTAAGATTGATCTTGAAAGGCAGCGACGGGAAACCGTGGGGGGATCTGTATGACATTATTCAAACTCAAGAGACCATTTTGCAATTTACACTAATATCATTCGCCTCAAATGGGTTTTAGGGTTTAAGACTATATATATATATATATATATAAAATTATTGTTAATTTTGCAATGGTCGAAGAGTATGGACACTATTTTTAATTCTTCTATTGAGTATCGATCGATAAAGTAAAATTTAATTCAATTATTAACAATAAAAGCAAAATCATGAATTTTGTGTCCTTCTTTGCTAGCGAATAACAAACCTGTTTGGCATGCTTGACGAGATGAACACTAGAGAAAATTAGAGAAACACATAAATGAAAAATACTATTTTAACCATCTGTAAACTTCGAAGGACCTAAATGAAATATCAAAACTATACAAACCGTGGGGGGATCTGTATGACATTATTCAAACTCAAGAGACCATTTTGCAATTTACACTAATATCATTCGCCTCAAATGGGTTTTAGGGTTTAAGACTCTTCCTTCTTCAGCTCAGTCCCTCACTCGTATTTTTTCCAAATTTTTTCTTTATTATAGTCATAAATATCTGAAATTCAGCATGTGGGCGCTGCGTCGAGTCTCCATTTCTACCAAGTAATTCTTTCTTTTATACTCTTGCCTGCACATACACAAAATATATGTATTTATTAGTATATATGCGCAATCGTTTGTGTATAGTTTTGGTTATTTATTTTTATTTTTTTGGCTGCAATTATTTTATTTTATCGCGAAGTGGTTTTCCATCTGACTGATCTGCAAATATATAGTGGGTTTGTATATTAAATATGTTTAAACACATGAATGTATATATGTACAAGCTTTGAAATTTAGCATGTGGGCACTAGTAGAGTTTCTGATCCTATCAAAGACTTTGTTTGCCAACACTCCTGCACAGACATATGCATAGTACATGTAGTATATGTAAGTAATTACATATAATATACATGTATTTGTTTGTATGCGCAATTATTTGTGTATGTTACGGGCTATTCTATGGTGTATGTGTGTATGCATTCAGCACATGTTTATGACATTTGCGGGAAGGTCACAGTGAATTTCTAGGTTGTTCTGGTTACTGGATTTAGATTGGAACGAAGGAAAGTAAAAACATGTGGACGAATAAAATAAAATAAGATTTTGGTTGTTACTGAATTTTTAGTTGTAATGTTTCGAATGGTATGTAAAATTAAGATACTTTGGAATTATTGTCTGCAAATAGTTATTAACATGTTAGTCCAATCCATCTCAAGTTTTGCGAAGTCTTCAAATAGTTATTAACATGTTAATCCAATAAATCTGAAGTTTGCGAAAGTTTGTTTGGAGAATGTAATAAATTTGTTGGTCTAGTTGTCTTGCTATCACTTCTATCCTGTGGAATTATGATGTGTACATGTTGTTCGCTCCCAGGAACCGAGGATTTAGCATATGGCCCTCTCAAATTTGCTGTGTTAAAACAGAGATAGCAAGATGTTATATGGATAATTACAATGCTGAATTTATTGAACCCCAAGAAATACCAGCCGATGGATTGCATTCATTTAGAAGATTCTATAGCAAAGCATCTAATTTTTGGAAACTATCCGTCGAAGTTCGTGGTTATTCTTCACAGGCTGACTCTAAGAATGGAGAGGAAGATGAAGACTTGGAGGAAGGGTTCTCTGAACTTGAAGGTCCAACTGTTTCTGGTGCCATTCTAGAAGATAATGCTGGAGATGAGAATGATGATGAACTAATTTCTGGTCCAGAGCTGTCTGAAGAGGAGTCTTCAGACGATGGCATCCAAGGGACGCAAAATGAGTTGGAGGTAATAGATAATGAGACTGGTGTTGCAGAGAAGTTATCTTCAAGAAAGATGGGTACTTCAGCATTGGCCCGTGCTATCTTAGATGCCCCAGCTTCTTCTCTTGGCAAGTTTTTGGATAAATGGGTTGCAGAAGGTAATGAAGCTACCCGGTTAGAAGTACTGTCAGCGATGCTTACTCTGCGGAAACGGCGTTTGTATGGCAAGGCTTTGCAGGTGATTTACTTTAATCTTGTTACTCCATATCATTTGTTGGTCCATACATGTTGGCTTTCCTGTTTCTTTCTAAACTCAACACCTGTGTTGTATGGACACAGGTGTCCGTATTCAACACTCATCGGATATCGACGTTTCTCAGACACTATAACATGATCATTTTTCTTTTCACTCAAAATTATTATTAAATAACGACTAGATAGGTATTAATATTTAAAATATTTTAACAAGAAAAATTAATAACAAGTGTAAAACTAAATTTATGCTATATAAATGAAGAATTATGATGAATTTAATCAATGTGTCATGTTAGTACTCCTTTGAAAACTGTGTGTCGTGCTGGTGCATCATAGCTCAACATCATACAACTGGCAATAATTTTGTTGGACTATCAATTAGCATTATTGCCTTCACCATGTTTTCGCTGATTTACTTAATAGCTTTGTATTGTTGTTCCATAAATAATTAGAAATTTGATGTGAGATCTGTAGGATGCCACTTCGCTGTTGTTAGTCCTGCTACTCGATTCCAAAACCCATTCCAAAGGGTTTTTATTCTCTGTCTTATTTTCTCTTATCTCCCCTTAAAGTTTGCACCTGGTTTTCTGATACAACTGAAGAGAACTTTTAAACGGATTTAGTCAAGTAATCCGGAAACCATATGGGTAGACATTATGTACTTTGTTCTGATGCGCTTGATACTGGATAGAAGTTGACTTGCTTAGATTAATTCCTGATTTAATTGTTCTGTGGAGCACTTCCTGTAAACAAATATATTCTAATTATTTTAGCATCTCCATGTAAGAATTGACTGCATAAAACAGGGTTTTAATTCGTTTTTGGCTTTGAGGTTTGGAAATATTCCCATGACATTCTTTAAGTCATTTTGAGCTTATCGTCTGTCTTAAGCAGTCTATTTTGCCAAAATTTATTTGAAGAATTAAGGTATAGGTAAACCTAAATCTTATTTTGTTTTATGTTCCTTTTTCCCCCCTTTTATCATCTTCTTCTTCCTAAAGGGGGATCACAGCATCCTATCCAATAGGAAGCTCGAACCCAGGTCTTGAAATTTATTTTATGTTCTGTGAGACATCTTATTTCATGACTTCTGTGTTGGAGTAACTTGATATGGCTGTGCTTCATGGAGGGATTCGGTAAGGTATTGCTTATGTATATATACCTTTTGAAACTCACGATGTGCCGATATATCATATTGTTTAAGTTTTGATTTCTTTTGACAATAGTGTCTGATTTTGTATTTTTCACTTATCTTGTAAAAATGTATTCCTTGTATGTTAGGTTTGCTAGTTTCAGAAATGCTTTCCCCTTCATGTTGTTTTTGGTACTTAGCCCCTGTTTGAGCCCCATTTTTTCCTATTCATTTACTTTATTTTTTCTACAGTACTCATTTTCAACCACACATTCTTAATTAAAATAATATTACACGCAAATCAAAAAATTTTCCTTCTCTTTTAGCCATACATTTCCCATCAATATACATTACAAGAAATTAATGAGGCTCAAACAGGGCCTTAATTCGGGAAATCAACAATTTCTTGCTAGGATGGTTGTTATAGGTCTGCTAACTTGATTCTTGGTTGCATGTAGTTCTTTGTCTTTAATGTTGGAATCCCAAGAGATGCACCATCTTTATGGGAAACTTGTGAATATATACACTTTATTGTAGCGTTGTGCCATTCTTTCTAAATTAACTGTTAGCCTTGTCGTGTAGGTTCAATCATGACCATGTCATTACTTGGCTGATTAAAAAGACAATTGGTTTCAAATTCTATGAAGTCTTGTTTCTCCCTCCACTTATGGTTTTTTTATCGGAACCCATAACTTCTAATAATTGGCTGGGTTTCCTTCTAGGTTAAATTTCATTGTAATCAAGGAGTCTCTTTTTCCTTCTGGGTATCTAACACTGGCAATTTTGCAGCTGTCGGAGTGGTTAGAATCTAAAAAGCTTCTCGACTTTGGAGAGAGAGATTATGCTTCCCGTCTTGATTTAATTGCCAAAGTACGTGGCATCTACAAGGCAGAAAGCTACATTCCGCACATTCCTGAATCTTTCAGAAGTGAACTTCTCTATCGAACTCTCTTGGCAAATTGTGTTTCTGTAAGCAACGTGAAGAAATCTGAGGAGGTTTTCAATAAAATGAAGGATCTAGAATTTCCTGTGACATGCTTTGCTTGCAATCAGTTACTGCTTCTTTACAAGCGGGTTGACAAGAAAAAAATCGCTGACGTTTTGTTGTTAATGGAGAAAGAAGATATCAAGCCATCCCTCTTCACTTACCAAGTCTTGATTGATGCGAAAGGGCAATCTAATGACATTGCTGGGATGGAACAAATTGTTGAGACACTGAAGGCTGAGGGGATGGAACCTAACACCCAAATTCAATCCATATTGGCACGGTACTATGTCGCTGGTGGCCTAACAGATAAAGCCGAGGCCGTCTTGAAAGAGATGGAGGGGGACAATATAGAGAAAAATCGTTGGGCTTGCAGGCCTTTGCTTCCTCTTTATGCAGCCCTTGGAAAGACTGATGAAGTTGAACGGATCTGGAGAGTCTGTGAATCTAATCCACGTTTGGAAGAGTGTACTGCTGCCATTGAAGCTTGGGGAAAGCTAAAGAGAATTGACGAAGCAGAAGCAGTTTTTGATAAATTGGTAAAAAAAGTGAAAAATCCCTCTGCAAAACATTATTCTGTTCTACTGAAAGTTTATGCACAACATAAGATGTTGGCGAAAGGAAAGGACCTTGTGAAGCAAATGGCAGAAAGTGGTTCTGCCATCGGACCACTGACTTGGGACGCACTTGTGAAGCTTTATATTGATGCTGGAGAAGTGGAAAAGGCCGACTCCATACTACATAAGGCTGCTGAGAAGAGAAGGGGCAAACCAATGTTTAGTTCATATATGGCGGTTATGGACCAATATGCTAAGAGAGGTGATATCCACAATGCTGAAAAATTGTTTCATAGAATGAGACAAGTTGGGTACGTCTCAAGATTCCGGCAGTACGAATCACTCATTCAAGCCTACATAAATGCCAAGGCTCCTGCATATGGTTTCAGCGAGAGGATGAAGGCTGATAATATATTCCCTAACAAAGCACTGGCTGCTCAGTTGGCTCAGGTAAATGCATTTAGAAAGACGGCATTGTCGGACTTGTTGGATTAAGGACATCGCGTATGTTTGGTAAGCAGCACTAGAGAAGACTCATAGAACATTTTAGCTTATTTTTCTTCCTTAAAACTGTTTTAAGACTCTCCAATCCTCCTTTCCAAACGTGCCATGAGATACTTCCTGGAGCAATCTACGCCCATAATAGCTTTGCTCGCTGTAAGGTATCGTTCTCTGTTCTGCACTTGTGTTATCATCCAACACTAGAGTAGCTGACTGTAGTTTGGAACTTCTCTATTCCTGGCATTCTGTTTGTAAGGAAGTTGGATCATTACATGAATCAATCAATTTCTGCATCATCAACTTTGTACGTTGCATAATATGTGGAAAGTTTTGTATGCTATTTCTTCTGCTGAATGTGAGTTTTATTTCTTTTCTTTCTGTTATTGTTATTGGTCAAAGAATCATAGGTAGGAAGCAGAGATCTAAGTTCTTGAAGTAGAAATGTGGAGAGCAACACACTTCATAGATATTAATTCGATTTTTATTGTATTAATCTTAAACATCATAGATATGTGAAGTAACGTCACACTTCATCTGCTTACAACTCTTGCCTATTGGAAGTTGGATAAAACTCTGTGTATAGAGCATTTTTCACAGAGGTCTTACCGACCCCTCACATGGGATCGGTCTCACGTGGGCCTCGATGCAATAAAAAATGAAGAAAAAAATTTCGATCCCACTCCTTTGTGAAAACTCTGTAAGGGTTTTGTAATGTGTTGGGTCTGTACGTTCAGCACTGTCCATTGGAAGTTTTGTTCAAAAAATCTCGTCTGGGAATTTTGAGAAGTAATTTGTGAGATGGTGTACCTTTCTTTCCGTGTTATAAAGGTTCCATTTGATTGGATTCAACTTATTATTGTAATAAAAAATTTCGCATACTCTAATTTCAAAAGATCAAATACAGGATTGGAGCAAGTTGTGTTAGGTGTAGAGAGCTGTCGGGATTTATACTTTGGTATTTTAATTAAAATTAAGAATTTTTTAAATAAATCTCGACTTTTCAATAATGCAATTAACAAAATTTGTCTATCAAGTGCTACATAATATGAAGGTTGAGAATGAAAATTAATTAAAAAAATATAAATGACGTTACGGGTAAGAGAATGATGGATGGAATGACAAATGAGAATCAAATATTACCAACGATCCCATCTCACAGCACAAGCTTAATGGGTTCCTTTCACAAGTTTATGGTTGGCAACGGGGGTCGAGGTAGGACGAGCTAATTGCTCCATTTACGTACCTGTTTAATTTTTTTTTCTTTTTTAATTTTTGATAATTCATTTTATTGTCCTAATTCATTTAAGTGAGACAATAATATAGTTATTAAATTTTTTAATTAATTAATTAATTTTTTAAAGTTAAATTATTCGAATATATTTGCTAAACTAATATTTTTATTGTTTATCATATTCGTTAAATAATCTTAGTATCATCTTCTATTAAAATTAATAAATTTTCGAGAAGTTTTTTCATTTAAAGTATTGAATTCTTTAAAAAATAAAATAAAATAAAGGACATGGGCGATGTTGGACCCCTATTACCCGTACCTACCTCGAGGCTGAATTTCCTCAACTTGTATCCAACCCGATTACCAGATTAATTAGGAATGGAGCAAGGCCCCCACAGGTATCGGGGTTGATGGATATTTTTGCCATCATTATGACAAGTTTCCATTACAAAAATGTGGCCAAGAAACTTTTAGAAACACCACCATTGAACTTTTCAGAATATCAAGCATAAATCACATTGAAATTTATTAGATGAGTCCTTTTCATCAATCTATTTCGTTCATTGTTAGATTTACTAAAGAATTTAAAGCAAGATGTTAGTAAAGGATGCTCCAACAAACACGTATTGTGATTCTTGGCATAATCTTTAACAAAGTTCCACATTGAATGTCAACGTGCCACAACCCGATTATACAAAACAAAGGAAATCGGAAAAATAGAATACACAAATTAGAATGACAAATATGATTAAGATCTTTTAATTTTTTTAATTTTTTATGTTTTTATGCCCATTTCTAGAATCAAAGTGAAATCCCACGCCGTTGAGGATGCTAATACACATTCAGCATACGCTCTTTTAACCTCCTAACAATATCATCCATCAGCTTATCAAACTAATAAAAACTTCTGTGTCGCAAACCTTCGGAAAAATCTTGACATGATCTATGACAACTTCTGTGCAAGTCCACATTTTCCCAGAAAAACTCTACAGTAACCTTTTGCTGATTGTGATCTCTTTTATGCTGATCCAGAACCTTTCGCTAATGCAGCTTCGCGTTCCTGGCGCCGACGTTCTCTCTGATGGAAATCATGTAATCAGAAAATGAGTGTATAACTCTACATGCATCCATGTTGATCGAGCCAGAACAGAAAATTATGCAACAAGTCAAATGAAAACTATGTACTGCGGAAAAGAGAAATGCCAACTGGTGCCAGAATAAAGTGTGAGTTAATTTACATTTCATTCAATTCAAATAATAATAATAATAATAATAAGTAAATACATATACAAAATAAAACTTTAGCATGAATTCCCAGCTTTCAAGTGAAGATGTGGATAATCACGAGTCGTCAGCAGACGAGATAGACTTGAGTCAAATGTTCTAAGCTGTATCATAATAGACTAGCTTTAGAGACCCTAGGATGCACTATGGCTAGTTATTTAGCGTCGGCTCATATTTATAAATCGTTTATAAACACTTCAGCCACTTTTTATTCGCACATTTTTTAGGGACCCACAATTATTAACCATTTATCCACCACTCATTGCCATCTATTTATAATTTAAATAATTTATAATCACTTTTAGACTTGAATTATAAATCATCTTCACTACAAAAAATATTGGATTTAGCTAAACTTCAGTACAACAACTTCACTTCTTTATAAATAAAACTATCAAAAAGAAGCTAAAGGTCCCTCTGCAAGGAAAAGTACCATCTTCCTATCACTCTAACAGTAACTCCATAGATGTCAATTCTACGAAATTGAAAACCAGTAAGATACATTCAGAAATTTTTGATAGAATAGAATCAACCTAAATGTGAACTATCAATATCAAATTATCTGTCTTATTTCCCTGAGATTGTAGTTTGATTAGTCAGAGCACCACCTTGTCATGGGCGAACGCTGCAGGCTTGAGGCTATTACACCTGAAAGAATACCACCCCCTCTTCTCCCAGATGGATGCTAATATTTGGTATAGGGGCAAGTTGATACGGAAAAGAAAAGGAAAAAAAGAAAGAAATCATCACCTATAACTGGTTTTCGAAATCATGTAATGCAGAATGCAACATTTAGCCAGCGAGAAGGAAGGGAAACAAGAATGAGAGATTTCAGTTATAAGCTTATCCAAAAAAGGAAAAAAAAAAAAAAAAAAAAAACTATAATTTAGCATATTTGTATTCCTTGTTCCATGTATTCACTTTAATTTGAGAACATGAAGCAAAGACAAGAAACATACCCTTCTTTCCCAGTATGGAAGGAAGCACACGAAATCATAAACCGGAGTTATTGTTGAGACTAACACGGCATTGAGTCCAGTGAACAGCAAAAGTGCTGTCATTGGCCTTGTTCTGTGAGGCATTTCTTTTGGCACAAACTATTAACTCTGCAAGATAAAATAACAGCTAAAATATCAAAATTTTAACTAATAATCACAACCGATAATAACCCCTGCACACATTAAACAACATTGTGAATTGACGTTACAGCATTTACTGAACTATAATAAGTTCTATTTTTTTTCCCCTCATTTGTACCTCAATTCCAATAATCAAAATATATAACATGTTCGTGTTATTACGTCAATCAGATATTCCTCAAGCTCAATTGATCTTCAAAACAAATAAAAAATACAGTTTTCTACTAGATTCAGAATAACCCACCATATTCAAGTAAACAAAACCAGTTAAAAATCAATAAACGAAAGAGAACCTAAATGAAATAAAATTAGGAATGCATTATTTACACCCAAAGATGAAAACTCAGCAATCTGTAAATATTGAAATTACAATTACATGACATTGTTATTTTATACAATCAGGAAAAACAATAAACACCAAAGGAGAACGAAATTAAAATTAGCATATTACCTGGAGTTTTTCTGCTAATATAATATGTCGGCAGGCGACGGAAATACCGGGAACGGATTCCGCCGAGTGGGAGAGAAGGGTTTATGTATGGCCGTTAACTTCGAAAGTAAAATTGTTTATAATTAATAGAAGAAAAGAAAAGAAAAAATTAGGGGATTAATTGTTCCAAAAATAACCACACTTTGCCTTTCGTCACGAAATCTCTTGAACTTTATCCCCCGTTTCACCATAGTGTTACGTTATATTTTATTACATTCTATTTTTTTTTAACCACACAATCTTCAATAAAATAATATTACACATAAATTAAAAATTTTTCTTTCTTTTTCAATCACTTATTTTTCAAAAAAACACTATTTCACTCATTTTTATTTTTAAAAAATGGGGGCCAAACGGGGGCTTAAATTGTTACCAAACTTTATCACAATGCTCCTCTAATTGGCTTGGAAGACCTATGTGACACACGAAAATCATATGTAGCAAAAATTTATTTGACAATTTTTTGAATAGATGATGAATCGAGACAAAATTAAGTAACGATTCAATAACATTTTACATCTTTACAGCGAAATCTAAGAATAAATAAACCTTGGCTTGCATGATGTTGAATATGTTTTGAAACATGATTGAGCTTTGTGAAAATATTCTCTATACTGATTGCACGACAATTTCTTCCACTTGTAAATTTCTTAAGTTTCGCCCTAGCCTGCTAATGATTGGTGGATGAAGAGCATTTTGATAAATTTTCAATAATCCACATTTTAAATTCAGTGAGATTTCTATCCATAGCTCAGTTATTTTTCAAACAATTACCTGCATTTGAGGTTCAATTTTATTTCCCGTTTTGAAGAAGAAAATTGGAGGCTCTGCCTCTAGTTCAGTTACAAGATAAAAAGAAATTGAAAAAACCATTCTTGGTTGTAAAATTCTTGGGTAAATAGATGGATCAGCTCTTACCACTTGTTGATGAAAAGGCTGAGGAAGTTGAAATCGACGCGTCATCTGACCACTTGAGGTAAGCATCTCGTTACCTTAAACAAACAAGACAAGAAAGCCACAGGATCATAGACTACACAAAAGAATTACATATAGAATAGTCGATATTTCAGGACAAGCCGAAGGAAGAATTGTATAATGCCTTTAATTAGCCAAACTCCGTGTTTCATATCTACAATATGTGAATCCTCGTGATGCAAAGTCCATAGTTCTTGTCTAACCTCCTCCATGTTGGCATTATGATCCTCAATTAGCTGCTCGGCTAAAATTTTATTCGATTTGCCAAGATAACCTATTACGCCTCTAGAATCTCCTAGATTAGCAACATATAATGTCACTTTCGAGATAATTCCAACGAGACAACACAAACCAACATTTGCGAGTAATGGTTTAATCTCGTACACGCTTCTTACTGTACAGAAAGCATTCTTAATAGTGTCTTCAGATATTGACCCACTTTTTTCTAGCAATCATTGTATAATAACAAAATCATATCATGTCAATAGATCAATTATCGATCTCTTCTGAAATCTTAAGTTACTAGATAGAAGTAATATTTAATTATTTAAATTTAATCTTCAACACGTCCGTTTATGTGCAGGTTGTATTTATATTTTATCAAGGTCTAGCACATTCACAACCTTCATGACTAAGTGGCAATGAGACTTTTGAAACCGTTTGCAACCTCATCTGCAATTTTAAAATATTAAAGAAGGGTTACGTTTATTAATTAAATTTAGTTTTCTTACAAGAAAACCGAAATATTTTTAAGCATCAGTAGAAGGCTACGAGCATTTATATTACTAGTAGAATAAAGTTACAATAAAGTGCAAAAAGGGGGGGCAAAAAAAAGCCTCACTAATTAGATGAGAAAAGAGGTGATCACATATGAATCTCGGCGCATCTGGACTACCATGGCTATTATAAACCCCAAAAAAGGTGGCATGTCGACTGGTCTCTACCTGGCTGCATCTTCAAGGAGTTCCTTTTGCCAAGACAGTAGCAAATGGAAACTCAGAAAGTGCCATTTGTATACTCCACACCATTCTTGACATCCTCTTTATATTTTAAAAAATTGTTGGAGGGAAACTGTTTTTATTTTTTGAAATTGTCAAATTTGGTGTACACCAAGCATGATTCATGAAAATTCACCATGAGAACGCTTATCTAGATCTCTCCACCAGAGAAGCGCGTTTATGTCACCTCCAAAATCATCATTGTCCCTGTTCATATTGGCATATTGATTCGAAAGTTGCATATTGATTAACGTGGAATGTAGAACACTAGATCTTTCGAAGCAGTAGAGTTAAAAAAGTGTGCCGATGTGTAAGAAAATTGATGGTTTTATATGTTTTCAATAACTCATTTTGATCACCTTAAAATACCACATTTTTACATAGGATTTGTTTAATTAAAGTTTCGAGCACTTTGACAGAATATCCTTGAAAAGATCTCATAAGAGGATAAACATGATTCTACGAGAAAGATATTTTGCATACAATGTGGACTAAAAGTTAGTCATCGCAATTCATCCATTCAAAATAGACACGAGTAACACTATGAAGCATCGCGGGTGCTTAGCACCCGTCTTTGTGGCTTGTAATGCCTCGACAATATATATTACGTCCCACTACCACGTAAAATGGTACTACATGACACTATTCAAATCAACATGCACGAAAACTCATTTTTCTAGTTACAATCTCATTTAATTCTTCTTAAAATTGCCATTTCCAAGTTGCCTCGTGCGCGATAAAATGCTTGAAGAATCTATGATGATACTACTATTACAAACATTTGGAAATATGGTTAAAGTAGATTTGTATGGTGATGGTCTGCTATATGTAATTGGCAAAGCTAATTAGATAAAATATCAAAGGTCGGTCCACAATTTGATTAGTAGGTTGATGATTGTGCAAACTGACTGATATAAACAAAAATGTCACGATTGGAAAGGGTTGTGATATGATCAGCTTTTCGGGAAATTAATCAGCAAAATTTGAGGTTTATTTTCATATTAGGAGCATTTATCAGAAGTAAAAAATAATGTGAAATGAATTTTGCCTAGTTATATTAACTGCCCGAATATATCTTGAAAAAGCACACACTTTTCCATCGATCAAATTTCACAAAGTTCAACTATATTGAATTCTTATTATAACAATGTAAGAGCTAAGTAGGGTAGATGCATAAGAACATTTACAGTTAAAGAGATAGAATATGAACTTGACGATCTGATGTCCCAAAAATTTGAGAAGGCGAGATCCATTGATACTGAATCACAGAGACAACAAATTATGAGAACATGATGGTAAAAACAACAAAATTTACGCGTTTCAAACTAACAAAATTCGAAAACTATTACAATGCAACAATCTTGATGGCATCAACTAGGAGACTTCACTGCCAAAAACTCTATACAATTTATGAAAGAGAGCTCCACTCGGGAAGATGAGTAAAAGCTTTCTCTTACGGTGATGAATGAGATTTTTTTCTCCTATTTTTGAGCCTATCTCGCTAGTTCAAGTTTATGAACAAGCTTGGACAGTTCTCCTCCCTTGGACATTCTGTTTTGAAGTAAGAATGAAAGTACATTGAAGTTATGAAATCAATTAGTCCAACTGTAAATAAAGAGAGGCTAAGGTTACGAGGTAAGGTCAGCTGGTTAAGGAAAGCTCAGCTTATGAAATCGCTTAGCCGTCAAGTTAGTTAATTATGTAGTAGCGAGGCGTCGGTTGTACCTCTATAAATTTGTGGATTACGGCTTTGTCTATAACGAAGGCATCACACTGTAATCATAAGGCTTTTCATCAGCAAATATAGATACATTTTACAATAACAAAAAAGCCGTTTCCCCAATAAATTTGGGTTCCGCGGCACTGATCTTTTCCATCACTCCATTGTATTAAGATTTATATTTGATGAAGTTTTGTATAGGTTGTCAACCTAGTAAACCTCCTCTGTTCGGGATTGGAATCGGCTCTGAAATACTGACTCTTTTTATTTATATTAATGGTATATGCCTGATAGTTATGAAATATTGCATTCTTAAATTATAAGACAGACGAATGAAATTTCTAAGATATACTCAAATCCATAATCAAAGCCGAGTTTCACTACATAAAAAATAATATAATTGAATATAACTTAATTTTTCAAAATCTAAAACTATACTCCTCTTATAATTGTTGCCCGGCAAAGACTAAAAAATCACTACACAATGTTTCTCAAATCCTTTTCCTAAAGAGAACTAGATTAAGATATATTTATTTTCGTCGAAGAAAAGAATTGCTTATCATGGCAATCATACCTAATGCAAGTCATTTATTAGACGTTTGTGCTGGTTGTAAATGCTTCTCCATCCAGACTCTTGAAGCCCCTTCAACTGTTCTACGCCACGTCTAGTCATGCATAAAAAGAGAAAATAGATAGTTTCAAATGAGATTTTATAGTTCATACATCACAAAATCCTTAACAGGACAACATTCAGAATTGTAGTGTTATAGAAATGTGAGGTGGAAAGACAGGAATTTCCATTGTAATAGGCATTACTTAATGGCGGGAAGCGGTGCTTCTCCATCCAGACTCTTGAAGCCCCTTCAACTGTTCTACGCCACGTCTAGTCATGCATAAAAAGAGAAAATAGATAGTTTCAAATGAGATTTTATAGTTCATACATCACAAAATCCTTAACAGGACAACGTTCAGAATTGTAGTGTTATAGAAATGTGAGGTGGAAAGACAGGAATTTCCATTGTAATAGGCATTACTTAATGGCGGGAAGCGGTTCAAGAGGAGAGTTTTGATGGCAGGATTTCACCCTCATGAAGTCATAACGTCGTAATGTTCAGAGCATACGCAGCCTAATCACGCTCATATCTCGACCAACATATAACGGCTCACCCACTGCATAGAGGATTCTTTACTTAATGTATTCAAGTTGTTACGATATTCTTTATGTATTCTTCTAGTTTTTACATCCTTCATATTTAATCCTTTCAGAAAATTAGTATCCTAATATTTCCCGTCTTAATGCAATTTCATCTAACTTGAATTTTAAACGATGATGATTTTAAATTAGACGGTTAAATTAATCTTAAAATTTCAGATCTTGTTTGACAAAGTAGTAAGAATTCCAAGAATCTACAATCTCTTTGTAATGTGTCTCCATTGCCCTCATGTTTAACCTCACTGTTTATTATAGTTAAACTAAACTAACACAGTAAAAAACCCTTGACTTTATTCGGTTCATGGTTAGATGTACCAGAAGAGGAAATCTAAATTCTCTGAATCCAAAGACCAAACTTTCGAGTTCTGTCCGAAGCAAGCATGAAGACCAAAATTCTAAATCCAAAAAAACTAAGCAATCCCATATTAGCTAAATTGAATATTAAGTGCTCCAAACATAAATCGAACTTGAACAAATCTCACCTTCTCAATTGTGCCCAAAATAGATCTGTTCTTGAACTCCCCAGTTCTTGTCTTGGCCTTTCCTATCCCGAACCTTCTAATCAAAGCCACGGGTCTTCGTGAAGTAGCCGGAGGTAGAAGTGACTTTCTCTCACCTTGGCCACTGCAGCCTCCTCCATTATTGGCTGCTTGGCTTCTTTTTACGCGTTTCGCCAATCGTAACTCTTTCTTGGCTAAGGATTTGTCATTTGATTCAGAACCCACTTCAGCAAACTTCTTCAGGAGTTCATCAGATGATGCTTTCGTTACGTGCTGAACTTTAGCTGTATTAGGATTAGTATTTTCCATTGAAGAGTAAGAAAGAATTATGGGAAAAGTGGAGCAACTTTCAGTACTTTTGACAGAGAGGGGAGAGGATGAATTCTCTTGCAAGAGTGGGATTTTAAGGTAGAGGGAAAATTTTGCGTTGTCATAGGTTGGCTTATTGTGCGAAAATTGGACCGTTAGGGGATGGGTGAGGGGTGATGTTTGATTTGATTAATATTAGGTAGCGGAATATAGCCGTTGGTAATGATGCAATAAAAGTTATATTCAAGTTGCAGCTCCACCCATGTTCTTTGCTGACAGTACTGCAAAAAGCAGGGAAATTGGCTAATCCAAATGGATAATTAACAACATTCGAGCTTTTTTTCCTTTTTCTTATATTCACTACCAGGCTTGAATGGAGGCGTAAAATTAGGGAAGAGTTCACAAATCAGATTTTAACTATGTCTAATTCAAAATTCAAGTTATAAGTTTCATTAATGCAAAAATCAAGTTTTAACTAACTAATTAAAAATATTTATTAAATAATGATAATAAAGTCACAGTTATACAATTAATGATCATATATTCACAATTATAGGTCACAAATTTATTTCCTGGTCATAATCAAATTAATTGATCACGAATTTTTTCGACGTTACAAATCAAAATTTTGATAGATCACAGATCAAAAGTTTTATAGGTCCCAAGTTATGTTTTATTCATAATTTATCAAATTTAAGGTCACGGACCAAATCGTTAAGGTCATAGATTTTCAAATTTTCATGTCACAGGCCAAATCATCGATCACATATACCAAACATTCCACTGTCGATCCCAATTCACTACCAATACTTGGTCACAGAACAAGCAAATAGTTGGTCACAATCACTATTACACCCCGCCCCGTCACAACACCTCCACGACCACCACCACCAACAAAAACGATCACCAAAATGCAACGAATGACTGCACCACACCACACAACACCACCGCACTACAAGAAATTCTAGTAAATATTAATACTACTATTTGATTTTGTATTAGTGAGCAATGTATTAAAATTGATACTAATCCAAGAAAAAAAGCCTTGGATTGCTTACATTCTGGTAGTTGCAACCTATCACTCGCTTCAAAGATAAGCAACTGCAATTTTGCAAATTCACTCTCCAATTTACAAGTACACTATATATCAAATGACAAGAATCTTACGCAAGTTAAGAATGCCAAATTTAATGCGTAATTTCTATTGAAGCAGAGAGAAAAAGGATTTGAATTCGATGCACATTCAACCCAGCCAACGGAGGCTAGCCTTTGTCTTCAACAGCTCCAGTGCCTATGCCAGCATCGCCTAGTGTTGACGTAAAGGCGCTGTTGCAATGTTGTTCAAATTGTCTGAACAACACCCTAAAACCATGGCTTCGGGGCTCACAAAACAAACACTAAAGAGAAGGCGGGTGCTGTTCCAGCACCGGCGCATCTCCTTCATCCCCTATGGAGTGGTTGAATGGGTCGTCAACATCAAGAGAAGAGAAGGAGGAGATGGAATCGGGTTTGAAATTTGGGAGAAATGATTAGGATTTTTAATTTAATTGGGCGAATAATTAGTTATAGTACCTGATTTTTGCACAAATAAACTTGCCTCATCAACTTTGAATTTGAAACTTTAAATACCTGGTTTTATGTAATTTTCCAGTAATAATATCCATGACAAGCCATCATTTTTTAGCAAGTGTGCTAAGCCCAACATGGCCCAAGCTTAATGGCAATTGTACTCGAGCATTTGCCATAGTCTAACACATTTTGACACATTTAAACTTGATAACATGATCAAAAAACCTAGATTATCTCGTTATACTATCACATACTTCAAAGATTGTATTAGAGTGAAGCTAGAGTTTGATCAAGAACTCTAAGACGTAGGTCTAACTCAAGCACTTGGATCAATTTGAAAGTTTTCCTTACTTTATTGAACTTTGAATTCTGATGCCACACTAATCTCTATCGCTAGGCTTGATACCAACCTTGTTGTCTCGGTCTTTCATGGCATGACTTGGGCTTTTTTGGTCTTAGTGACTCTCTTGAGTGAGGTTGGTGGTTCGAGGTGAAAATCATCATTTTTGTGGGTCTTTTTGCCGACTTTATGTTTGTATATAATTTTGATGATCACTTACAATAAAGTAAACGAGCAGTACCTTCGTTAAAGTCTTAAATACCTTTGTTTAATGTTTAGAGACGAGAAAAAAATAGGAACATTTGGATATCAAAACAAGAAATATTTTGGCAAATATTTAGTAGATTAATGCATATAAGACTATTTTCCTTCGAAATAAAAATTAATAATATTATTATTAGTAATATCGACGACTACGATGATGATAATAATAACATTTCTATAATTATTGAACTAATCTTTATCCTCCATTCATCTATCAAAACAGCACAATACCATAATATTATTTCCTGTACTAAACACAGAAATGAGCCTACAACACATTTTTTATAATGCACAGATAGAGTTACACATCCAACAAAACAGTCGCTGCAATTTATGAAGGCCGCCTCAACGGTATCGACTGTATATTTTCAATTCTGCTTTACTTTCTGATGGAGAGGTGATTTAGCTTCATTCTTGTGGCCTCGAAAGCCAGAGAGAACTGAGGGCTCGAAGGCGTGAGGAATAATCGTTCATTAGAAGAAGGGCACGAGCTGATTGCCTAGTCGTCAATATACGATGCATCTCCTGTAAAGTCTGTTGCCTCGCGTTATCCGCCTGAAAATGTCAATATGGATAAACAGAGCTGAAAAAAGTCCATAACTAGTAGTATTATATCCTTCAAAATGTCATCAAGCCCCTATTTGGTCCCTATCTTTCAAAAACTTATTTTATTTATTTATTTTTTCAAATTCATCTTCAACCACACATTATATGGAACTCAACTTTTATCAACTTTTCAACCATGCATTTCATTAACTTTTATCAAAATCTACAAAAAATCTATTTTTTATCTAAACCAAACGGGCTAAATTCATTGACAAATGAAGTTTCCACACTTCGACCGCCACCTACTAATGTGATCCAAAGTGGACGGTAGGCTTAAAAGTCAATTAAATTTTACTTTTAAGTAACTTTTTGTTTAAAAGTTCCTAAACATGTTTAAATATGTTACTTTTTCGCTGTGTGTTCTCTAGTTTTTTGGTAAATGTAATCAAACATATTCTAGAAATCGAATATTTCACAAAATGGATAGCACGACTGGATCAACGAATGAGATTTATTACCTGGCGCAAGAAACCTTCAAGAGTCCCCAACTTCCCCATGGCCATTGCCATCTGACCCATATAATTTGCCATGTTACCAGAAGGCCCTTCGGGTCCTGAAGATCCAGTAGCTAATGTCTCGGCTAGAGATTGCTGTAGCGCCTCTTTACCTTGTGAGAGAGCATCTTCGGCTTGGTGAGATGATTGCTGCAATGTACATATCTTCTCCAATTGTTGCTCAGTTAGAGGCTCCAACCGATTCACGATAAGCTGCATTGCCATTAAATGCCGTTTTAGAACAATGAACAAGGCATTACTATGAACATTTTTCCCACGAGAAAGTGCAGCATGTCAACCATTTCCAATAGATGAGATATCCAGATTTAATGGTGAAAGCTGGGACAAGTCCCATATTGAATAAAGGCAGAAATATTAATCAACCTACAAGGACTTTGGGAAACTACTCATAATAAAGTGACCTTTTAAAAAGAAACCTAAAGTTTTAATATAGTAGCGTAGCCTATTAGCTCAAACGAGCAATTCAGTCAGTCTAAAGCATAAACAAGCAATTCGAAATCCAAAATTGGTGTTTTCACACGGGCCACCATTTTGCAAGGAGCATGTTAAGAGAGAAATCCCATAACGAATAAAGATGGAATTATTAATCAACATATAGGGGCTTGGGCTACTCTCTTAAAAAGGTCGACCTTTATAATGGAAACCAAAGTCTCAATAAAAGCATCATGGAAGGAATAATATGACTTGTTAGTCCACAAACATTTGACAGTGTGACACCTCATCATACTGTTCAGTTATATGATTGGCTATATTGGCATTCGTGTATTTGTATAAGATCATCCTAGATTCCTATGCTATATAGAGGAAAATGAGGGAGACGTTTATCTGTGCGCATGAGAGGCAGAGACAAAAAATCTACAAAAATATGAACACACACCTTGAGAAGTTCAGATGGACGGAACCCACCAATCCACATAAAACACCTTTCTGCAGGCGATTTCCACATACCAGACAAGAGGTGGAATACATCACCCTTGGCTGCTTTACTTTTCAGCCGGAATATCTCGTTAAAATGTTCCGTTACGTTATCCACAACAGTACGAAGTTCGAGGTCACTTGCATGTGAATTGACAGCCAACCTGAGCTCATTTATCTGCTTGTTGTGCTCTTCCAACCACCGTGCATATTCCACATCAAATGCCATGGCCCCTGCAATAACAAAGATATGTTAGTTTCGTCATAGCCATATCGAAGAATATAAAGAGAAATGTAAATTGGAAGAAAAAGAAAAGAAGACAATCGATCAATTAAAGCCACCATGCTTTTTTCCCTGCTTGTCCATCAACTAAAACTTAAATTTGTAAATAACTGGAGGAGTAAAATTGCCTCTGATGGTCAAATTTCTCTTGAAAATAAAAAAGGGCAGTAAAATTATTAAGCATGAATGGTTCAACATATTATTTCCATTGTACAAGATATGAGATCAACCAACTTCCTAATTGTTCGAATGTTCTACACGTATGTGAACTCATCCATACAATCCTCAGATCAATGAGCTTTTTGAGCAAACAAAAATTTTGAATTTAATTCTTCGAGCTATTGTTCCCTCCTTGCCTGCAACCTTACGATACTCAATAAACCTTCACTAGGATAAGTAATTTTGTTTCCAAAAAGCTAAGCCTTCTGACTCTGCATCTCCATATCTATCCATTTCTCCAATGTTTGGAGAATTTAATTTTTCTTAATAAAAACAAAGTAACTCTAAATTCAATGTCAGAATAAGTAACTTATGTCCAATTTCAGCACCACAAAACTATTTATACCAAAAAAAAAAAAAAACTTACTTATTTACATAAAAAGGAAATCTTTTAAGCTTAGACAAACATGTTCACTGTCTACCGTACAGCTTGTGCTAAAAACAACTAAAAAAATTTGTGGTCTTTCAAACAATATTGTGGGGTTTCATCATGTCAAAAAATCTTCAAGAGATGAACAATCAAGTCTACAGCAAATAGAGATATCATACCATTACCACTCCCAGAATTAGATTGGTCTCCATTGCTGGAAACAAATATACCCTGCAAAAAATTGAAACTTTTAATGCAGAAAATATGGAAGGTTTAAAATGCCACTCACGATACTATGGGCAAAGGAAAAAAAACACTAATATAGCACATCTAATAAAATTCAACCTGCTGACGAGCTCGCTGCAGTTCCTGCTCTAGTTGGGTCAGCTTCAAGCGGCTATTCTCCAGCTGTTGTACATAGGCCTACAAAGCATATGAGAAAATAATTAATTTACTATACTCCAACATTCCCATACATGATTAGACTATTTGCTTCATTCAACAAAACAGAAGAAAAATAAAAATTTGCAGCGAAAATTAAATTACAATGAAGAAACCTACTTTCTTCCTCAATCGGCTTTTCCTAGCAGCTTCACGATTTTGGGCAAGCCTTCGCAAAGTCTTAAAGATATATAGTGAGAGACGAATCAACAAGTTATTCTTGAAATTAGTATATAACAATTAGTATAAACTTACAACCTTCTGCTCCAAGGATTTTTCTTTTGATTTGCCACTGGAATCTGAGACTACAATGGCACCGGACTGACCCATATCAAACTACACAAGATAGGGTGACATCTTAGCCACATATCAGTAAGAATAACCAACAAATTTAATCTTCCCCAAAGAATTACAGTATGCTTCGTATATTGTAAGTTCCATGACTGAATAGATATAAACTTTTTGAGAACCTTAAATGCAAATTCATAAGTAACTTACTTTGAGAAGGCAGAATTAAAACACACTTCTAGAAGCTAAAAACTGAAAGTCAGAATTACAAAAAAATTCACCCTTTGGTTTCTATCATCGGGCTCCATGTCAGTTGAAGTATCTGTATGGGAACTGGAATCTGCCAAGTTGGACTCTCCCCAGTTCTCATGTTGAGCACCAGATACAGAAACTAGATTTTGTGATGGTCCCTTTTGTAATTGCACTGTTTGAGATCCCATAAGAGCAGCAGAGAAATGTGTGTTGGTAGGAGCAAGAGACTAAATAATCAACGAAGATGTGAGATCTCAGAAACTGATAACAGTTTTCAAATCAAATAAAGCAATAGGCCAAAATAAAAAGAAAATACTGTTACCTTATCAAAAGTGTTAGCCGGGAGAACTGGGTGCATCGTTTGGCTAGTGAGAGTTGGATCAAATACTGGATCTGTACCAAAATAATTTGTTCCATTAATATCTTTTGTCATAAGAAGAAAAAGTACCAATCGAAGTACAAGAAGAAATACCCAACACAAGCTGATCACTCTGGAAACTCCTAAAAAAATCCCCTAGCTTGGTCTCTCTATTTCATGTTTCCAAGAGAGCTGGACTACACTACCGGCCTAACTTGTGTAATTGAACCAAAAGTGCACTATGGACAAGCAATGCATCGAAGTGCATATGTGAATATTTTTACACAATGCTGTAGAACAATTGTTCATTATTTATTTATTTATTATTATTATTTTTGAATGGGATGTTTAGATGTGTGTTTTAAATTTATCACGAGTGTAATTTGCCCTCCTTTCCACTGAGAACATATTTATCTAAGCCCGTATCTATCATACCAAACTGTGTCTAATCATCAGCAGATGTTATCTGTGAGCCTAGTAAAATGCAAGGATTTCCAAAAAAAGCAATAGTGAACCAACTGCTTTTAAACAGCTTAATCAGTAGTAGTAAATATATCTAGCACGTCAATCCAATTAAAAGGGGAAATTTCCATAATTTTATTCTACCAAAATGTTAAGTGAGGCATGACATTGATGTAGTGCATGGAAACTAGCACTCACGGAGACAAAGAAAAAGAATTTGAGGACATCAATAACTTTAGACAAGATTAAGATTTGAGGAACATACTTGGATTGACATTAGTAGAATCTCCAATTCGAAATCCAAGATATTGCTCTAGGACACCGTAATCAGAAATTCGAGAAGAATTGGTGGTATTCCCTTCTGTACCCCTGCACAAAAATTGCATATGAATTGATTAAGGAACAGAATGTTATCCAGAGACTCCAAATTCACTAACTTCAGAAAAGAAGTTACCATTACAATTTATTATGCTTCCAGATAAATCTCTAACAAACAAAGAAAAAACTGAGGAAATTTCTGAAATCTAGAAGAGAAGACTTTACATAAAAGTTCAGAAATCTTGTTGCAAAACACATAACTGATGTACACTTAATTGCATACCATGAAACTTCCATAATTATGTTTTGAACCTTCTAGTATCAATTATCGTAAAACTTAAATCTTTCAAGCAAGCAGCAGTCATTTCATTAACTGGATTTCCTACCTCCACTTTTAGGGAAGGTTGGTTAGTTCTATCGAACAGGGGTTAGGTTATCAAAGTTTATTTCTTATTACTTGGGCCTAATGACTTGAAAACTACTGAAAACAAAAGGAAGTTTTATCTGTGGCACTCTTCTACGTGTAATGCACAACACCATTATCAAGAAAGGGTAATTTAAAGGCCATATCTGCCATGTCTCAGTAACTAAAATTAATGACTTCAAGAAGTCTCCATCTAATACAATATGCACGGTTTCTAGCAGCAAGTAGGCATCGCCAACTGTAAAGTTACTTTCAATTCGCTATGTTGTTTTAGAGTATCTTAATGAAGCTTTAATGAAATAAAGGGTTCAGTGATATCATAACATTCAAGTTTTAAAATGGCATCCATCATTCACAAGTAAATCAAAGAAATATTTCATTAGGATTAAGCCCTAATCACTTCTTATGAGAGCAATAATAAATAGAATGAAATTGAAACCAAGCAAAATGCACACAAATTTTATAGTTGTTCAGCTCATCATGAAAGCTACATGCACTTGCAACTCTAGTTTCTCACTATAATGAAAAGGAAGGAAAAAATGTTTTGCCCAACCTCTCTTCCATCCATCATCCCCCTAAAACACTTTATAAACGGAGAAATATAAGGGTGACCTAATACTTATATACTGGAGGGGATAAATGAAATTAAGCTCTATACTCCCAACATATTGCAATATCTATAAGCCTCACAATAACATAGCAGCACTCAGAACAAAAAAACCAATAGTATATGAACCCAGCATAATCAAGAAACAACAACGCTGATTCCAAATAAAGATTCCAAAAATTATAATTATTTTCAAATATCGGCAAATTCTTATAGCAAGATATGAAAGGATCATAAAAGTAAGCGCTATGGAGAAAATTACATAGTATTGGAAACTGATGTATAGAAATGAAGCCTTGCAATCCACAAGTGAGACTTCTACTATTTTCTGCACCAACGTTTACTGATTTACTAATCCATGGGTACTCAAAAAAACAAAACCCAAAGTTGAAAAATTAAATCTTAAACCTCTTTAGAGTTTAGACCGTAATAAATAAATCAAGAATTCAGACCCTGAAGCTATAAAGAAGAAAAAAATTCAAACCCAGTTCACAAACAAATCATGCACCCAAAATCAAACTTTTGGAATCAATTAAATCACCAAAACAGCAAACCCCATAAACCCTTTTCACAGAAATCACCAAATAAAGATTTTGAGATAAAAAAAACTCAGACAAAATTAGAGACAACTGAGCAAAACCTAGATGCTGAAATTTAGTCAAACTGCAAAGAGATACAGAACTTTTAAGTTTTGGGACATAAAAATTGGAACTTTTGACTTTTTTGGGAGTCTTAAAAATGAGTATCAAGAGGTGCACCCATTAATTTCATTGATTTCATATAGAATTTTCTTTCCGGATGAGACTGTTTCAGCACAAAATTCAATGGGACCCAGTGCCATAACATTATTTCTTTCTTTCTTTCTTTAATATTTTTGTTATTTGTTTAATAATCAGAAGTTCATTTGAAGACAAAGACGTGATGCTCAGATCACTCCAATCTGGGCGTCATTTTCATCCGAAGCATTTATACCACAATGCAAAGCCTCCATTTTCTATTACAGTCCACACCCTTTGACTAAAATTTCATCTCGTCCTTCATCTTGTAAAATTATGCATATTGAAACCATTGATTATATTGTTGGAAGTAAGAAGCACTTAAGTGATGGAAAATATCATGTCCTTAAAAGCACTTTTGGATCGTTATTGATAGATCTCAAAAAGAGAGAAGAATTAGGACAATTAGAATAACATTTGAATCATGTTATTAGGGGAGTGGATATGTAATGTTGTAGTTTGATAGATGAATTAATTCGTAAAATTTGTTAATTTCCATTTTACTTTTAAAGACAGATGTCTATTGTCGAAATTTCTAGTATCATGCTAACTTTACATTTCACGTGAACATTCTGAACTTTGTTTATTTTTATATATCAATGATCTTTCAAGTCATGTTTCTTCCATAAACTGTTTGTCGATGCAAGATGACTTTTATTATCTATTTTATGCAATTATATAAAACTTGAAATGAAATGAAATCAATTTCGGGTGAATAAATTCTATTGCTAAAATTCAATACACATCCAATACTTATTTCCTAACTATTTTTTTTTTTTCAAATAAGATTTCAACTATTTCATGTATTCTTTCTAAAAATTTTCATTAAAGTTGTCACTGTAATTTCACAATAAACAAACAAAAGTGGGAACTTTTTATAACTATGGTATTAGTATGGGGTCTTTTTATAATTAAGAGTTGTAGTGGAAGACAATAATTTAGACTTTAGCTTCCTTTACCTCCGCCGCCCAGCACGAGCGTTGACACGTCTTCTTGTTGAATTGACAAGAAAACAAAATTAAAAATTTATATTGATCAATTTAATGCATTTTAGATGAATTATTTAATTATATGATGAAAATTGGGTGAAATATAGGATTTTTGAAAGATTATTAAATATTATTTATAAATAGAAATTTAGGGAACGTATATTTGTTTTTCAAAAGGATTATGATTAATTACTATTATGGAAACTACACATGAAATATATTATAATTTATCAAAACCTTAAAGTAATCAAACCAATTTATGCAATGACAACAAAGAAAATATAATAGTTTTATGTTGATTCTAGGCATTTTAAAATCTAAATAGTTTTTTATTACTTGTTGTATTATTAAAAGTAATACTTTTTTCTTAATTATATTTGTTAATCAAGATTTCATTAGAAATGTTCCATCAAGTATTGAAGCGCAAATTACAAAAAACAATGTCTATCATTGTGAAAAATTCGAAAGACTTCATGTTATTAAATTTTGCTACCAAAATGCTTCTATTTATTTAATTATTTGGAATTATTTAATGCACCAAAACACTGAAAACAGGAAAGATTTTGCCATTTTACGCTAAACTTTTGTACCAGTAGTAAGTTGATCACCCCCTTTAAAAGAGAGCAAGTTGACCCCTTAATATTTATGTAATTGCACAATAGGTTTTTACTTCTTATAGACGCAAAAGCATCAAAGTCTCTGTAAAATTCATTATATGGCAAAAGAGATTAGTAAACTATTTTGTTCAAATGATCGCTACGATCAAAGTTTCAGTCGGGGAAAGTCACGGCTTCGATCGGAAGTCAGAGTGTCGACCGACGATTGTATAGGTTTTGGAATATTAGATAGGCTGCGAGAGTGAGTGCGAGAGTCGAGACAACGTTATGCACTTTATTGTAGGTGTTTAGGGTTATTTAGTATATTTGATCTTGTTTGGCTAAGAAATGAAATAATAAAATGAGTAATTGGGCCAAAAATTAAAAAATTAGAAATGAAACAAATTATTGGGCCAAAAATTTGGATTTAGAAATCATTAATTTGTTAATTTGTTTAGAAAAAATTAAAATTAAAATAATTTGATTTACTCAATATAAAAAAAAAATAAGAAAGATTCGGTTCTTATTCGGTTCTTCGGTTCTTGGTCTAGAACCGAGAACCGAACCGTACCCGTCGGTTCTCAATTCAGATACCCGTTCGGGTATTTAATTTGACAAGAACCGTCGGGTTCGGATCGGTTCGGTTCGGGTTCGGTTCGGTCGGTTCGGTTCGGGAGATTTGCCCAGCCCTAATTTCTATTATCATTAAGATTGATTATTCAAGAATAATGTTAGACTGTGATTAAATTTGCTCGTTTCTAGTGAAAACTTGTTACTAAATCATTAAGTCGGAGAATAATGGTGCAGCTAGATATATGTTCCTTGTTGGGTAATGATAATTTGGTTTAGGTAAGAGACTTTCCCTTTTACACGGCCTAATTGTTGGTTTTGTATCTTTTTCAAAATTGCATTTTCTTGTATACTAAATAAAGAAGTTTAAAAGTGCAAAAGTTAAAGTTGGAATATGAAAATCATTATGAAGCACTAATATGTGGTGGAAACAATTCTTTATAATCACATTACTCAAAAAAGTCATACAAGCAAGGGAGGCAAAAGTAGGTTCAAAAGAAGCATTTTCAATTGCAAATTAGGTGATGTCTTCCTCAGTTTGGTACCCTTAGCTATAAAATGCAATTATTCTAATGCAATGATTGGAAATAATGGAGCTGAGCCCTTCAAAAACATATTTAGTATCATGAATCGACAAATGTCAAATTCGATAAAATAAGAGACATAACATTTGTTGATGATCACATCAAATCTAATTTCAAGCAGAGCAACATACGAAATCCATTATGTATAAAGAAGACTTACTAATACATACTCTGATCAAAGACGTGATTAGCGTAAAATAAAAGATATATTTATGTTCAGAAAAAGTCATATTTTTTCTTCTTTCTTTCTTTTTGATTCATTCACTAGAAGGTTAATTTTGAACACAGTTTAACATCACCTTCAAATAGTAAAATTTGATAAAACTATTAATAGTTTGTTGAAAAAATTAAGTTGTTTTCAAATAAGTTACGCCCTAACCAATTTCTTAATAAGGAACTCGAATCATTTATATTTTGAAAGTTTTGTAACAAATCTTGCCACTCCCTTTTGGATTTCGACTTGACATCTCATGTAACACTCTTATGAACCACTCAAATAATAACACTTTCGGCTAGTTAAGTAGGGTGAAATAACTATCCAATACTGCAAATCATACGTGCTCTTTATACATCATGTCAATAGGCAGCATAAAAATAATTCTCCTCGATGTCCCTTGTTCTAGGGGAACATTGATGAATGAATTCCAAGTTTCCAGCATAACGAAAACATCACATTTTCATCCATCAACCTAAAGAAAACCTGGAAATTTAATAAACGTAGGCATGATTATAATGTCTAGCAACATCTGTTCTGGGTGAAAATGTAAAACTTAATAGCTGCAGAAAATAATTGAAGAAAAACATAGCATTTCACCAGTGTTAGCCATAATCCTACATCAAAAACCTTCTTCAGCAATGCTCGTTCTAGCTATAATCCAACATCTCTTACAATAATAATAATAATAATAATAAAGAAAAAAAGAAAAATGGCCACAACACTACATTGGAAATCTTGTTCTGTGAGTATATCGAGAATTTTCTTAAAAGCGTTTGATCCTTGTGGACGTTATGGCAATTATAAATGCAACCCAACAGTGTACAACAAATCAGTGCACTGTGAATAGTTCAAATGAATTATATTCAACCAAACAATACACTTTTATTTATTTATTTTCAAATTTTAGATGCGGTGATGTTACAAATGTGAAGTTCCTCGTCTACAATTAAGACTGAGAAAATGAAAATCAGAAATCAGAAACTGATGATAGGAATGGATTTGGTCGATCTGTCAATATAAATATAAAAGGTACATTTATGGGCATTATATTTAACATTGCTATTCTAGTTCATCAACTTTAATCTCATATTGTTCGCAAGATGAAAGAATTTTGACTCCAACCATCCCCTTTTGCCACTCAGCACTACCCATTAATATCAGCCTGCGAGCATTTATTCACGGTGACCTTTTAAACACTGTAGATTATAAACAAAAAGAAATAAGCTAAACGAAAATAAAGGAATGATCAACATATAACAGAAGTGATGTTAATAATGGGACGGTACAAGAAACAAAGGATATGGAACACAAGATAATGAACTTGAAAAGGATAACTTTTAGACAGGTTTTTTATGAAATCGGGCATACCATTTAAGGGGTTTATTTTCCAAAACCAAGTCAACACTTTGACCTTTTTCCCTGAGATTAGCAGCAATTGCAGAAGCTTCGCCCTGGAGATCCCTATCCAATGAGCAGACAATGTTTCTATCTGGAGACCAAGTTCCGGTAGAAGTCCTCTCTGTTTGAGCAGCTGCATAATCACCAAAGGGAGTGAAATAGCAAAAAAAATTGAACGAGCATGTTCGGTTAAGACTAAAAACACAGCAAAAGCACTTTTTTGGAAATCAAGTAAAGATAAACTTTGAAGAAATAAGATTTTGAACTACTAATATCCTAAAGAGAGCAACTTCTGGAAACACTCAAAAATCTTTGGCAAAGAAGTTACATAAAAGTAACTATAAGGTTTAGCCAAACATGCAATTTAAACTGCCTAAAATGGTCATTGGTCAGAGCAGTTTATTTGAATGTTTATTTACCATGATCAGGCTGAGGGTATAAGTGTTATGCCTTAAGTCCAATCAACTTTAAATATAAACACTTTTAACATATAATTGATGCGATTTATGGCAGATTTATTATTAAATTTAATATTCGATTGAATTAAATAATGGAGTCCGTACATTCAAATCTTGGTAATTTGTTAATCACAAAGAGTTCTAATTGTGAGATGCAAATTATATATAATTGAATCTTAAATCATTTGTGGTCGCAAGTAATGACGAGATACGGATATCGTTATTACGGATAGACCATAATGTGTGACATTTCTTACTTGTAAAATAAGTAGCTAATTACACAAGTTAAAGTGTGGTAACACTTGAATGAACACGTGAATATTTTGTTATAGAACAAAACAAAAACCAACTAAGAGATTTCACATGGATAACTATCTGAGTGTCAGTGATTAATCTCTAACGTTCGGTAGTGGAATTGGTCATTTGACTTGAAGTCATTATGGTGCCTTATATGAGGACAGTCATACTTTGGTGGTGTTGAATGTTGTTCTGCTAAGGGCTGCTAATACGGTATCGCTCGGGCATATCAAGAATCGTATGAAGGTTGTGAGTGACCAATAGAAGATTCGTCACTCTTAGATAGTAAGATATTATGATTTACAATTCATTCAAGTAAGTCGATAACGAAATCATTGGCCAAAGTGTACTCAGAAGTCGAAAATGAGTTTTCGACTTATATTGACTTAATAGTGGAATGAAAGATATAATCGCAATCGGGATTGATACACTTCCATATCTCGTAATTGATCGGATCATATTAACGAGGTGATTATAGTTTCATGGTAAACGAACTAATTTGATTTTGTTATACCATGTGATATTTCTCGTCATATGTAATTCCTGACACATTGTTAGATGTAAATCTGAGACGACGAACGTGAATTGGTGATAAATTAAAAGGGTGTTTTAACTTTTAATTTATCGATTTGATTAGATCAAAATAATGATTCACATCATTAGGCATTGGGATTAAGAACCTAGTGAGTTGCACACAAGGAAAACTGGAAGATTTTGATTTGTCAATTAATTAATTTAACAAGCGTTAGATAAATTAATTAATTGGGTTGCTTCTTAATTAATTGAATTAATTAATTCACGGATCGAATTTAATTAAATGGATTAATTAAATATTGGACCGGGTCAGGCCAAACTCGTTTGGACTTGTATAAATAAGTGACTAGGGTTTTCAATTTGCAGAAAATTTTATATTCTTGCTAGCACAAGAGAAGAAAATCCTAGTTCTTGCAATCTTGTTCTCTGTCTGGAATTCCATTGGAGGCTGAATAATTGGATAGTTGTAGGTGACAGATCAAGATTGTTGGAATAAAGAAAAGCAAAAGAATTTGCAGATCTAGAAAAATGTATAATTTTTGTCACAATTTCTACCTAAACACAAAGTAGATCCTTGATGGAAATTGAAATCTGTTTGATTTTCTGCTATGCATGATAAGTAAATACCCAACAGAGGATCATGCAATTTTTGGATATAATTCTCACAAAAGTGAAACGATAATCCAGCCTACAGAGTATGTCTATGCATTACAAGATCCAGAAGTCAAAAGACAACATTTGCCATATCATATTACATCTTTCCTTTGCTTTTGATAACTATGAAAGTACATTGTTTCCTGTCCGGCTGTCCCTAAGTGAAATACAGTGGATCACAGGCCATTTCGGAAAGCACAAACATCCCTCAGAAAACACCCCCACCCTGACCCTAAAAGAAAAGGAAATAATTAAAAAATAAAATAAAATAAGTCAAAGGTATCACTTCTGAGTTTCCAGTCCATGAATCATAATTTTGCCAAATAAAGCAAAAGGAAAACCATGCCAAACATGCAAGGCCTTCTACTAAACCACATAATAGCACAGCATAGAGAGAGAAGTTAGCTTCAGGCTTGTCACTGGGAGAACAAATGGGAAAGAGAAGCAGACATAAATTGGAATTGGAAAATTCGACTCCGTTTGTCTTGCTTTGCACAAGAAAGGAAAGTGAGAGGAGAACTACCTCTGGTCTAGAGTTTTATCAACTACCATTTTGGATTACATTGAGATCAAAATCGAGTCAAACTTCGCATTGAGCTCAACATCAACTCAATTATAAAGCTCAAGCTCATGGTCAGGTCAACATATGTCTCAATTCAAGTTACAACAATCTACATAAGTAAATATAGTCCCATTTATAAAATCATTCATACCATGACTTCATCAATTTTTAGTTTGGTGTCAAGTATCAGAATCATGAGTAATCCCCATCCCCTCCAAGATTCTATCCAAGTTGTAGATTAAAGCTATATCCAAATTTTGAGTAACCAAGGCGTTCTTCTGGAAAGAAATTAAAGAAATAGAGATCAATGATTTTTAACTATGTAGATGCATCGTCCATGTCAAATAGAAAAATATTTAATATCCCAAAGATCATTAAAACGTAATGAAGGAAAAACACAAAACAGGTCTCAAGCAATGTAGAGTCGACATACTGCACCATTAGGTACACCGATAATATCCACGTTCCATTGGTAGTGTTCACGCTGGCGTCCCATATTCATTCCTTCATAATGCCAGCATTGTCCAACAGCATACCATTTTAGTGGAAGCGATACTAATTTTCTGGACAAAAAAAAAAAACAAAAACACAGAGATCAAAATCGAGCATCTGTACCTGGATGCAGAATCAGGAATAACATATAAATACATTATGGATGATTTAAGCATTTGCTAAAGCAAACTCCTAAAAAGCAAAAATTTCTACATATGCACAGTGACAAAACGATAAGGAAAGGTTTAAGTTTACCCTTTCTGTATCACAAGCCTGGCCAAAGAAAGAGTAAGTTCTGGCCTTAATGGAACTCGATGGTTTCCCCGATCCTCAAAGTAGTAAAGCTTCATCCGTAGAAAACTAAAAGAGAGATTATAAGTAACCAGAGAGAATTGTATCTCTAAGTATCTGTACACACATTCTTCTAAGCCCTTCATTGCAACTGACACATACAATATCCCCTTGCTTTGACCCACCATTTTCTTGCTATCTATATAAATGCAATGTTTGTGGCACCATATTGAATTCGCGGAGGCATCAATCATGTGTGATGCTTTCCTAACAAGCAATGAAATTAATTCTTAAAATCATATTTTATAGGCTGCACCAAGTTATTACAATTACCTTAAATATTATATTCTTGATTCTATTTGACCTTAACTTTTCATGCTACACCTCCCAAGAATACCCAACACAAGCATACACAAGCCCTTATATTCTTCACTAGTTGATCAAATATGTTAAAAAATTGCCAAAAAACATCTAGTATTAATTATACAGGGAATTAAGGATCAACCTCAGGACACTGCATTTCAAAATTACTAAAAATTCTTGTTAGGTATTAGCGTATCATGCCAGTTAAATCTGATGCATTCAATGAGGAATTTCACTACTTAAGTCCATATTTTAGCTAGTGTACAATAATTGAAGAATAGAAAACGTACGACATTCTTCCGTATTCAATCTTCTTTTTCACACTTCCATGAGGCATGAATCATTTTTGGCCTTTTCCATAGACCAAAGGATGAATCATGTTACTTTTACTCTGGTTTCATCCATTAAATAACACAGTTTTTCCTTATTTTACTAATTTCTTTATCCATCTGATGATAATTTAGAATTATATTGGCTTACATTCACAAGCTTACCATGGAGAGACATATAAAGATATTGGAAGATGAAAAAGTAGAATTCACACCAACCTTGTCTCTAGTCTCTTCTCCAACTTTCCTATTAAGCAGCGACTCTGACTCTAGCACTGGAAATCAGCCTCTTCGAACCTGATTACCTGAACAATTGTGAAACCTAGATGTTCAACAATCAATCAATCCATATCAAGCATGAGGATAAAGTTCAACTGAAAACCTTCAGGAGGAAAATCTTTCAGGGAAAAAGAGGAGTGCATTTCAAAATCGTGATATGCTTATTTGCTCATACTGTTGAGGTTAGTATGGAATTCATAATATATAGCTAAAGAGAGATGAATTCATAATGGTAATACTAGATATTGAACTTGCTGGATTCATTTTAATGCTGATTTTCATCCACGGAAAATTAGAAACTTTTTAATCAGCAATGCATTTTCTAGTACATGTGCCAATGAGGGCAGTAGGTGGGTCATAACTCAAGTGGGAGGGGTGGGAATAGTTCTTGAAAACCTCCCTATCACCCCACCTGGGTGAAATGCTGGCTTCATTTCTGCTAACAAGCTTCTAAACAATCCAAGTAAATAAGATAGTAAATCATTTTTCTTACGGTATCATCATTTTAGGTACATGAGATCCACCTGCTAAATCCTATTATTCAAACATTTACCGTAATCATGAGAAAAATAGCAAATGTGAAAACGTGAATGTGGAGTAGCTAATACATGATTCTTACACTACGTGGTTTGGATTTGCGAGCTTATAGTACGATGTGTCTATGGTGGTGTGGTTGTGTTACGGTATAAAGTGAAAAATTTTCTAAAAGAAAATTATATTGAAGGCTCTCAGATTATTTTCATTCATTTAATTTTATCTATTTCTAAATTAGCACGTATTTTAAATTCTTCCTAAACGAAGGTTAAAATTTTAATAACACTATACCACGTTCTTGACTATCTATATATTTTAGTAGACACTAGATGAATATGCACACAAGTAATGCCATAAATCAACTATGAATCATGTCTGGATGTTTTCCTAGTTTATATTTTTTACTAAGGTTTCTATAGATTCTCATGTAGAAAGATAATTGCATTGTTAAGAAGAAACAATCACATGAGAGGTTACCTTTTAGTTTTACAATTGCACCTAAGATTTTGGAGATGTTATCAGGAAGCTCAAGAAATATAATAAAGATGACGCTATAAGAGTGTTTTGTAGGGGAAAGAGGGAGAGAGTTTTTATGGCACTTAAATAATGAATGATATTTTGAAGAGTTTGGTGATTATTTTCTTTACAAGGTCGTCTTTAGGTGGATCCCATTTTGAATTTAAGAACACAAATTTGAAACTTAACAAACAAAGTAAGTTCACCTAATATGTAATTGTTTAAATAAAATATTATGGAAAAACTCTTCAAGTAGCCTAATATCTTGTTATTGAAACTTTGCAAGCACCAAACAAACACTCATAGCTTGTTTAATTTGCATGATTAAAAAGAATTGAAAATTAAATTAATGAGATTTTTGAAGCTGGGTAGAAAAAGAGAAAACTACAATGTAGGACAGTAATTCTCTTATTATTGAATCCAGCAAAGTATAAGTATTTATAGTGTTAAGGTGCAGACAAATTCCTTTATTCTAGGGATTTCTACCAAATTTAAATATATGTCAATCTCATAAATAAAGAAATGAACTATAAGTCGACATTGATAGAGCCACGAATTATGGGACAAATGACCACCAAATCTGCTTCTAATTTTTGTAATCTTCAACACTCCCCCTCAAGCTGGTCGATACAAGTTAAATAATCTCAGCTTGTCCACCATTTTTCCGAACATGGGTCTAAATAAACCTTTTGTTAATAAGTCTGCAACCTGTTCGGAAAAAGGTACATATACGATGCATATTGTCTCATTTTCTATCTTTTCCTTGATGAAGTATCTATCGATCTCTACATGTTTAGTTCTGTCATGATGAACAGAATTATGTGACATTGCAATAGCCGCTTTGTTATCACAATAAACTTTCATAGGCTTATTCTCCTTAATCCCAAGTTCACTTAACAGTATCTTTAACCACATTATTTCACAGATTCCATATGCTAAGGCTCTAAATTCAACTTCAGTGCTGCTTCTGGCCACAACTGGTTGTTTCTTACTTCTCCAAGTGACTAGATTTCCCCATACAAAGGTACAATAACCGATTGTAGATCTCCTGTCTGTTATTGAACCGGCCCAATCAGCATCGATGAGGGTTTCAATCGATTTTCCAGAGTTCTTCTCAAGAAAAGTCCATACCCAAGGGTCCCTTTTTAATTTCTTTTCTTATTTTTTTTTTTATTTTTTCTTGATTTTTTGATTTTTTTCAATTTATTTAATATGGTAATTATCAAGTTACCATTTTACCCTTTTCAATTTAGTCAAAATAGGTCAACATTTACTTTTCTTGGTCAACTAATCAAATGGATGGATTCCATACATCTGGACCCCTAGTGCATATTTCTGAAAGGTTTGGTACTCACGGTGGCACAAATGAAAGGTTTGGACAAAGTCTGCTAATAAACGAAAGGTTTGGGACCGCTGTTGCAATTTTCCCTTTTTAAAATTGTGATTAAGAATTTTTCAAGTAGAATTCAGATTATTTTGTTCTTGAAAGTAGATTCCATTTATCCATCAAATCTAATACTCAAATCCAACATTAATGGCTTCAAAATCTAATCCCGAATGGACTCAGAGACTGGGAATTCTCTACAGGCAGCCAACTTTCTCTAATTTATAAAAATTGCTCAGTTCGCTCACTGGGGTGTTCTTAATATTGTTTCAAAACCTCTATATGTCAACATCAGCAGGAAAGACATTTCAAATTAGACAAGAGAGGAATCCGTAACACCATTAGAAAAGGAAATAACTGATCTGGTTTCATCATGAGAATAAGAATGAGCTGGATAAATATTTTTTTTAGGATAGGATACAAATTACTCCTAACAACTGAAAGAACATACATCTTGGTACTAACTTTCCATTAAGGATTACAAAGCCAGCAAGTTGCTTTGACCGCATGAATTTCGTACACCTTTGGCATCGGGGAAACTCAAATATGTGCAAGTTACAAGCACAAGATCTTGACATTCACGGGGTGTCAATGGCTATAGTTCCTAAGTCAGATACAGCAAGTTCTTAGACAAAAATTGGGACAGCTCCAAGATTAATTACCACCTTAGTGTGCTGAGATATCTTAGAAGCGATATTTGTTCGCGGCCAAGCTGCCTCAAACTAAAGCTGTGGAAAATTCTTTCCTCACGAAAAATGCCAGCTAAAATTGTCTGCTACATCTTTATTGCTCATGACTGAAAGCCTAAGGAATGGAGCATATTAATTCTCCAATTATTTATACTTTAATGAATAATGTACAAGCAATTATAGCACATATATTTAATTAGATGTTGGAAGTATATACTTGCATTTACAACAATGTTGGAAGTATCAAAAAATTTGTTGTCCTCTCATATCTATATTAAGCTTGAGAAACAGAGGTTGTTAAATGTCAATTATTCATACATTAATTCATAGTGAACATTATAGTGTATATAATAGAGTATACATTGAAAATTGGGAATGAAGAAGATCCGTATACCTTCAGAATCCAAGAAATTCGAAATATCAAAGGACTTTCCATCTTTTGATACTTCATCAAGCACAGGTGCACTTAGTTGTCTTGAACACAATTTTGGCTTCACATGGCAATTTTCAATCTCCAAATATATATATATATATATATATATATATATATAATTTTTTTTTTTATAGTAACAAAGAATTAGACAGGAAATGCATTCTTAACACAACTAGAAAATAAAATAATTGGTTTCATCTTGAGAAGGTGTTGGGTAAATAAAGTTTTAGGGGGTAAATAAAGTTTTAGGGGGACCTATGCAAATTACTCCAGAAACTGACAGAACTAACATGATTAAAAAGCCAACAAGTTGCTTCGACTGCACAATTTTGCTCACCTTTGCCTATTAGGTTTATACCTTCAGTTGAAGCTGAATCGATCAAAAGGCACAGTGACATCTCCCCCTCTGAACTACAAGCCTAGAAAGCAATTATCGGAATTGGGTAGTTGCCTCGTGTTGTCTACAAGAATCATCCATTAAGATACCAAATACCATTGCTGATATATTTTCTAGCTTCGCCTCCTTCCATTAGCATTGAACTTAGTTTTTTCTCCTATGTACCAAAAATACCACTAATATTAATAAATTATACATAAATCCTAACAAAAACAGAGGTAAACTAATCCTACTAGCATAAGGACATCAAGCATTAGTACCTTTTTTTTTCAAATAATAGAATCAATGCTTACTACATGAATTCAAATAATTGAAACAGTTTGTTAAATGACTAAGCCCATGTTTGAGCCACATTCTAGAAAAAAATGCATTATTCATGTCAAATCAATGGGAAATGCGTGGTTAAAAAATAAGGAAAAATTTTAAATTTACGTGTAATATTATTTTATTGAATAATGTGTGATTGAAATGATGTCAAATCACTGTTAAAAAATGTATTTTGTAGAAAAAATGTGGCTCAAATAAGCCCTAAATAAGAAATTTTCTAGAAGTTCCTCTGAGATAAAGAAAGATGTCATCAAGGGGAACGCATAGTCAGTACTAATTTGGCAACTATCGATAAATCAGTGAATACATTTTCATTTGTTCTGTGATGAAAATTCTGCTTCAATTGCTCAAGGTAGAAAGCCTATGTAAGAGAGCATTTTAATTTTCCAATTATTCGTACCTCAATTAAGAATGCACAAGCAATTATAGCGTGTATATATATAACTACATATTGAAAGTATATACCTACAACCTTAACAATATTGAAAGCATTAACAAAGTTGCCGTCCTGATCTCAAATCTGCATTGAGCCAGAGAAAACAAAGGATGTTAATTTATCAATTATTCATAAATTAATTAATATTGTGCATTATAGTGTATATAACAGAATAGATGTTGAAGATTGAGAATCAAGTAGACATGTATACCTTCAAAATCCAACAAATTTTAAATATCAACGGATCCATTGTTTATCCATACTTTATCAAGCTTTGGTGCACCTAGTTGTTGTCTTGAATACAATTCTGTCATCGCTGGGCAATTTTCAATTCGCAAATATTCTAGTGAAGGGAACACAAGTTCATAATTCTGAGATGAAAGCAATCTGAATCTATCAAGATGAGCAAGCCATAGATCTTCCAATTTAGGAAAGACAATTCTGCGTGTCATTCCTTCTTCCATAATTTCAATGTTCGAAGTGTCTTCTTCTTCTTCTCTTCCAATAATCTCTTCAATTGCTTCACAATCCTCAATCATAAGAACTTCTAAAGCCACAAGTGAATGGGCCATTGAAGGTGAGAATAAGTACCTTAAGTTGTCACAATGTCCAACACCAAGATGTGTCAAATTCTGATAGACATAAATTCCTTTAGGAAACATCCTTGTGAAATGCACTAAATCGGGTAGAGACAACACAACCAGCGATGCTAATTGACTAAGTATACCAATTTCTGCATCATCTTTTATATGCTCAAAGTCAAACAAAATGTTCACATTATCCAAATTTTCCACTATTAATTCTCCTAGTTTAAGAGATCCGATTTGCCTTAGTTCATCCAATATTTTCACAGTACAACCCAGTCCTTCAATGTGCAACAGCTCCAAGTTAGGAAACGTAACCTGCAAGAAATTTACTTAATGGTGCTAGCAAAATTATGTAATCATAAAACTTCATAAGTTTGAATATCACCTTTAGCTTTGTAGAATTAATTAAGACCTTGAAATGAATTAGCATATGTAAATAACAGTGAAAATAACCATATATTAATAAAAACATTGGAAACGTGAAATACAGAGCCCATTAGAAAATGTAAAGATCAGCCCAAATCTAAGCATGTTTTGAATTGTGGATGCTGAGAACCCATTTTGATTTTTTGAAGATATTCATAGGAAAAAAAAAGTTTTGGGCTTGATCACCAACCCAGCCCATAATGGTGTTTATATTACATGTTATAGATATAGATCAAGCCCACTGGTGATTATTAAATGTTGTAATAAATATAAATATTCCTCAAAATTGGCAGAAACATATCCAAACCTTTGACTTCAAGCATTTTTTGTTCCAAAACTTTTATTTTTGGCACTAAGGTCTCAAATCCATTAGATTAGGACAAAAATGTGAAAGGTTTGGGACCAAAAATGCACTGAAGTGCCTATTGAAAGGCATTAATTACTTAAAAATTAGGTTATATAGTTCAACATTTTTGAGTCAAATATAAAGCCTTAAGCAATTAGGAAATTAAAGAAGCATTTATATGTAGAAAGTTGTCTTCAGAATACAGAATATAATGTGATAAATTACCGATTGTGTTACTTGTGCATAATGATTTATATACATGTGATGTGGTGAGATTTGATTGAATCAGAATTTCTTTAACCAAATGTAAAAAAACTTTCTTACTCTCTTTTTGACACATCACTCATACGCAAACCATTATTTATAAGTAGCATTATTCATAAATTACACACTAAGAGTTAACAAAAGCATATGGGAAATATAATTTTGTGTCATTTAAAACTTATTTGTAAATATTTTCAAAGGTTGGACTCCAGGCTTCATAGAATAAAAGTTGTGATATGAATTAATTAGAAAGTGAGAAGTTAAACTTGTAATTTCCTTACATGTAATTGTTATGGTAATTAGAATTCATATATTCATATGTTTTAAAACAAATGAGACTGCATGCACACACACTAAAGAAAAAAAATATTTACCTGTTTGAACAGTGGATTCAGCACACCAATGGTCTTGTTAAATCCACATCTAAAGCTCTTGAGATTTCTTAAACTTTTGAGCTTGATTTTCTGTAGTTTTGGAAACACAAGCATCTGGTTAACTTCATTTTGTTCTGTGTCCATTGAAACAACTTCCTCTAAAATCTCACAATTGGAAATACTTAAATTTTGGAGATTCACCATGCATAATGCAACTGACTCAGAAAATAGGCTTTTCAATGAGGGGCAACTTCCAATGGTAAGAAACATAAGATTGTGGAGTGATGGAGGTTTGATGACACCCCTAAACAGATGTTTCATTTTTGGTATGCCATCTAGATTTATCTTTTGTAATTCATCAAATGCCCCTGTTGGATGATTTCCATTTAGATACTCGAAGCTATCTTCATCTAACACATTCTTCCTCTCCATCACTTGTAGAGAAAGATCATCAGGATTATTCAAGACCATTTTTATAGAAAGATGGTCAGTTTTCCTCATCAATGAGTTAATTGCAGGTTGTGAAAGCACACTCGCATAAGTAATGCCATGTATATGTAATCTCCTTCCGAAATAGTAATACCTCTCACGAGCATACTCTAAGTTAGCTAATTCGATATGAAATCTATCCAGTCGCTCAATGTGCATAACTTGTAATATTTGCAGCAAAAATTGAGGATCGTTTGTGCTGATTTGGAAAGTATTAAGACAGGTCAATGAACCTATCTCGTTAATAATGTACCCTCGTTGTTCCAGTCCATCACCTCTTATTTTAATAACACCCATGTATAGTTCTTCCAGTCTCTTCAAATGCAATAAGATACCTGGTGAAAGCGGAGAACATTTAGAGCTACGCATCAACCTCAAATCCAATAACCTTAGGTTGCTAAGTTCTGCTATATCATTAGGAAAGTGATCAAGATCAGAGCCACGAAAACTGAGAACTTCTAACTTTTTTAGAGTCCCAATAGTTGAAAATTCAATGTTTAATGTACAACAATCCAAGCACAAAGTTTGAAGATTGGTCAACAATTGGATTGATGATGGGATTTGAATCCTCATAGAAGTGAAGTCAAGAACTTTGAGTTCCTTCATATTGGCAAAAAAATCTTTGGACACGTTTAGTGGCTGGTGTCCGCACATCACTCCTAGAAACTTTAGTTGTGGATATTCTAACCCACTGGGAAGTTGATTCAGCTCATTCGATGTAAGACTAATTGCACTATATGATGTATCGTTGTTATGTTTTGGCCACACCTTCAAACTAGTGTGTATCGACATATTGTCTTTAGATGCAATTTGTAAGCAAACATCTCTTACAACACCATGCAATCTTACACGATCCTTAGTCTCAGCTGAGAGCAGTAAGTAGCAACTTTTCAAAAGATCAACAATCGTGTTTAACCTATTTCTGGTTGAATTCAATGTCATTGTACCTCTAAACAACTCTAGCCCCCAGGCATATCTAACCAAATCTTCAATTTCAATATCAGCACCTTCTGGATACAAGGAGCATAACAGAAACAAGGACTTGGCTTCATCACTCTCTAGATAGTTGTAGCTTAACTTTATCCTTGAGTATACGTACTTGTGTACTCCTTTGATATTACTCACTTCAGAAGTCCGTAGTTCTAAAAGTGCATTCTCCCATACATGTTTTTCTTTTTTACAGAGGGCTCTGCCGACTATCACAAGGGCGAGAGGTAAGCCATCACATTTCTTTGCAATTTTTATTGCCGTATCCTTTATAATATCAGTTGCATCATCAGAAATTTCTGCCTTTTCCTTGAAAAGTTCCCACGATTCTTTTTCATTTAAAAGATCGACGTTAAATATTCTTGTACCTCTCACTTTTGTGAACACATCTTTATCGCGTGATGTTAATAGAATTTTCAACCTTTTATCATCCCTTGCTGAAGGAAATCCTATAGTTTCTAACACAGTATATTCCCAAACATCATCCAATATTACAAGAATGCTCTTACTTCTGTCACTTCCAAGTCTTTCACGAAGTCGTTCAGCTCTCTCATATTTATCAGTAATATCTGTAACTTCCAAGCCAAGCTTTTCAGCAAGTTGATTCTGAATTTTGGTAACATTTGGATCTTGAGATATATCTGCCCATGCAAACTCATCAAATAATTTGTCAGCTTTGGCTTCATTAGCTATTTCTTTTGCCATTGTTGTCTTACCTACTCCACCCATTCCACAGATCCCAATTATGCTGACATCTTTGTCCTTTAGAGCTTCCATGATTCCCTTTTTAGTTGATATCCTTGTTTCGAAAGCTCCAAAGTCACTGGGGTTTTGATAAGGTATTTGCACCGGTGATTTACGTTCACCCACATCTTGAAATGTACCTTCCTTTTGGAGCTCAGCGACCTCAGCAGCCTTCTTTGTGGCTTTCCTGCCAAGTGAATAACGGGTCAACAAATTTGGACACTGAAGGAATAGGCACTGCATTTTAGAATTTGTTGCATCTTTAAAAACTTCATCCGCGTTTTTCTTCATTTCTTCAACATTTTGCAGCCAATCTAAAACAATAGGTCTAATAGCTTCCACATTATTTTTTGCCTGACGAACCGATTCTCGCACCTCAGATTCCTGAGTTTCAAGAACTTTCACCTTATCCATCAAAGTTTGAATTTTCTTGTTGTAGCAGAACATATACTTGAATTGACACAAAAGCGGATCAATTGCGTATTCCATGAACTTTCCAACAACACAAAGGGCTATTTCTAGAGTCATAATTAGTCTTCCAGCTCAAGCAATAGATATTCCAACAGTATCAAAGAAGCCTATCGGCATAATAAAAAAACGAAAAAACAAACAAACACATTAGAGTCTTAGAATTACATTCTTCCACAATTTTTATGTAAACTTTAACAAATCAATAACAAAAGGAAAAAGAATTATTCCCCAATAAATTATCAATTCTACGTGCAAAATTATATGAACCATATGGAATTGGAAATAAACATGGTTGATAGGATTGAAAGTTCTCCTTTCTGATAGATGCAGTGATTTGTCATTATACTTACTGATTTTAACTATGTGGGTGCTTAGTGTAACATTTTGGCATGTAATTAAACAATAAAGCTACCTTCTATCTATGAAACTATTTTGTTACCTTAGTATGTACCCTTGGTGAGTCTTAGAACATTGGACATTTTTCCCTCAATTCTATTCTTTCTTTTCTTTTACTATTTTTCTTGCAAGCAAGTAGATTCAGGGCTCGAATCCATAGTTTCATAACAAATATATAGTTTATATAGTTTCATATGAAAAATGAAAAATAAAATTGGAGAGCTCTTTCTAGTCTCTATAAACAAGAATGAGGTTTGAGTAATCAATCAAAATGTCCATATCTAAAGGTTGAGTATGAATCAGATACATGGAACATAGACTACGAGCAACCATGTAATTTCTCGATAAATAATTGCATATAAAAAGAAACAAATACCACCAAAATAATCTGACGCGAAAACTTAGTCTGTAATTGGCAAAAATTATTATAAATTGGTTAAACATCATTTTCAACCACACATTCCAGTAGATCCACAAGTACTCATTCTGTCTATTTATAAATTAAATCGTTTCCAAATTCTTCCAAAACAAAGGATAAAAATTTAATAACACCATACCATTTTTCTTGACTATTTATCTATTTTAGTAGACCATAATTAATGCCGCAAGACAAGGATAAATCATGTATAAATCTTTTCTCAGTTTATATTTTTGACGAAGGTTTCTATAAATGGCATGTTGATTAGAAAAATAATTGAAGAATTAGATAGTAACATTTTTAGATGTAGTAAATACTAAGTAGAGAAAGACAGAAATAACAATTCCAAATGTTAAAAAAGAAACAATCACACTGGAGATTACCTTTTAATCTGGTAATACCAACCTAAGCCTTCTGTCAATGCTAACAAGAAGCTTAATAAATATTTAAAAAAATGAAGATATAAGAGTGTTGTGCAGATTGAGAGAGTTGTGGGAAGAGTGTTCGTGTTTATGGACCGTAAATAATGGAGGATATTTTGAAGATTTTGGTTTGTCCTTTCTATGTAAATGTAGGCTTTTGGTAGGTTCCATTTTAAAGATGCAAATTTTTTACCAAAGAAAAAAATGTATTCGACCTTTGAATAAAGAAGTCAAAAATAACGATCGAAATAGTGAAATAATAGTAAAAAAAATTAATTTTTTGGGGTAAAAAATTGCTACAAAAGGGAGGCTTTATCTTTGGCCCCGTTTGGGAGTGATTTTGAGAATTGATTTTGTGACTGTTAGGAGAAAAGTGGAGATCACCTGTGAAAGAAGAAGTCAAATTTTACGGTTGAAATAGTGAAATAATAGTCAAACAATTAATTTTTTGGGGTGAAAAATCACTCCCAAGCAAGTTGCAAATTAAGAGCCTGTTTGAGAGTGATTTTAAGAATTAATTTTTTGATCGTTAAGAGAAAAATGAGTTTCACCTGTGAGAAAAAAGTCAAATATGACGATCAAAATAATGAAATAATGGTCAAAAATTTAATTTTTTGGATAAAAAAATCGCTCCCAATCAAACCCTAAGTTCACTATGCGCCTGTTTGTTCCATATTTTTTTGCCCATTTTTAGAGATTATTTGCCTGTTGCAAAGAGCAATTCAATTTCAATTGATTGAAGGTTTGACAAACAAAGGACGGCTGCACGTGAATTTTGAAACATCTACTTTTTAGTTTTCCCTTTTTAATCCAACCACTCATTATTCTCTTTAATTTTGAAGGTTTTGGAGTATTGAGGGGTAAAAACGGCAAGTGGTAAATGAAAGGATTCTCATTATGCAAGCACACGTGTTTTGCATGTCGAGGAGAGTCAAATTGAAGGTTTTTCTTCCATCCAAAATATAAAATCAATAAAAATAGTGCCATGGACTTCAAGTCTTCATCGCTGTCCCTGTTTTTAATTTTAATTTTATTTTATTTTTTTGGTAAAAGCCTTTTTTCCTTAGTCAAAAATATCACTCGGTTCAAACGAATGTTTGACCGGCACATCATGTAAGACAAGATTTGGACATTCAATGTTCATATATTACAAGACTTAGTGCTAGTAGGTATCCTGTCACATCATGCTTATCCTTTTACTCCACGTCGTACTAATAGGGAATACAAAACAAAAACTTTTAATTATTAATTAACTTATAGATCACATCTACAAGTTAATTAATGGTGAAAATAATGGTGAAAATACCAAAAAAAATAATAATGATAGGGACGTTTTGCAGGAATGTAAGTTTTGTGCTAATTATCCTTTTAATAATTTATTTGAACTCATTTACAATTTTTTAAAAAGTTTGGAAATATAATTACAATTTTTTTAATTTTTTATTTTATTTAAATAGGAGATATATTTGTCATTTTACCTTTTTTTTATTGAGAAATTAGATGAAAATGACATTTTCCACAATGAATGGTGAAAATGTCAAAAAATAAAAGATAAGGACGTTTTGCACAATAACATTGAAAGGTTAGAACGTTTTGTGCTAATTATCCAATTTCATAACTTCAATTCCTATTTGTTAAACCAAAATCAACTCTGATTTTTTGCATTACAATGTACTAATGAATATTTAGGAAATTTGGTTCCGCGTTAGTATCTTTTGCTGTGTATATTGTAACAATACCTCAAAACAATAATAGACATTGGACAACCAAGTGCAACAAGATGATATGTAGCCTCATGAGAGGTCAACAAAATTCAACTGTTCTTATTTGATGGTAAGAAAAATCTTCCAAAATTTATTTCTACTGGCATTAGATAAGCGATGCATAACACGAAGAAGAAGATTTCATGGAATTAGATTTAGTCATTTTCTTTATTTCTCATCATTTTTAGTTGTTATTTAGGAATTTAGTCATTATTTTGATTTTATTTACTACTTTAAATATGAGTTGTAGTTGATTTTAATATTATAAATTTCGTGATAAGTTTTCTCCAATATTGTCTCTTTCTCTGTATTCGTGAACGAATCAACAAGTTTGAAATTATGATGTATTTGATTGCAAGCATGAAATTTGCATGAAAAGAAAATAAATTTTAGGTAATTTAATTGTCTAGAATTTATTTGTATGGAAATTAGTAATTAAATGTATTTGATTGATTTGGTTTTCAACCTAAAAATATTATACTTATCCATTTTCTATTGAAGGATAAATGAGAGAAAGTGGATAGATAAGAGAGTGAATTACCTGAAAATTAAAAGCACATCTTCCTAGAGAAAATATTTTTTTTTTTAGAAAAATATGATCACATGACCAAAAGTTGGAAAATATACTCTATGGAAAAAATTATCAATCAAACACCTTAAAAATAGGAATTTGGGGTGAAAAAATGACGTTTTCCATGAAAAATAAAACTAATCAAACGCGCTCTTAATTATTGACTTTGATTTAGATTAAATATTATTTTTAAACCTCACATTTTGTCTGTTACATTTATTTGATTGTTGCAACATCAATAATTGTGAATGAACACAGCTCAATTGTACAAATAAGTCCACTCCGCATTTACTGATCAAATAATTGTACTTTTTGTAGGTTCCACCAAGGTTCAAACAAAACTCTCAAATCAAATAATTCAATTTAGTTCTTTTTAGCTTAAATACTCGAATGAATATTAGAATCGGTAATCGATGAATTTGATTTGATTCTTGATTCTAGATTCAAGGAATTAAAGAATCGAATTTCTCTATTTTTTTTTTTATTTTTTTATATTGAATAGGCCAAACTATATTATTTTTCATAAATAAATTTGCCCATTAACCATTTAATTAATCAATTGTAAGTGACCAATGCCAAACTTGAAGTAAAGGAATCAATGGAATGGAATCCTCGATGTTTTAGCTTTATTATTTATTTTTTTAAAATTTGTATACATTGATGAATGGATCTTATAAGAAGACTTGTTATTTATATATTTTTAAAATGAATTATATTATTTTGTAAGAGTTAAGATTGAATATGTTATTAATTGGATTAATGAATGTAGTGCTGTTGCAAGTGTAAAAATAAATAATAATAATAATAGTATGAAAAAGAACCAAAACGAATCCATAATTGAATCTCAATATAATGATTTCTTTACTAAATATCCAAAAGGATCTAGTTCAGTTCGTTTTTTATTCTCTTTAAAATTGAACCTATTCGAACCGACTCATGTCTGGGCTTAATTCCCACTTCAAATATCATATATACTCAGAGCCGATTTAGTATGGAATTTTTTCTCCAAAAATGTCGATTTTTTGTTCAAATTGGTAGGGTCAATGAAGCATGAAGTAATTATTATTGAAACGCAACTTATCAATAAAGTTAATATTTCTTTGAAATGATTCGTCCTTTGACTTGCCTGAATCACGTTATATGAATAACAAATAGTCGAGGAAACATCGTCTTTTATGACTCGGAATGCCATACAAGGAATTCCGTAGAAAAAAAAAAGTATAAACAAGAAAAAGGTTTTTAGATGCCGAATTTATTCCAAAAAGTAAACATGGCTATTTCCAGTTGTGTAGGGTTATGTGAAATGGATTGATGGGGAAATTAATATTTTACTCATCAAATTCATTGGCAAAATTGGAAATGTTATTGTGGTCCGTGGTGCGTGTCTTGACCATTTCTTGGAATTAATACAATCTCACAAAGTTAAACTATCAAAATCTGCATCTTGAAATCTCATAATAATTGAAAGGGTAAACCAAATTTCTGTCGTTATAGAATGACTTTTATGTATAATCCTTTTTATAAATAAAAAGTTGAACCCCAATCTTAAAAGTCCCTACTGCTCCACCCCTAGAACTTTGTGAGGGAAGTAAATCGCGAGATATGCCCCAACAGGTCAGGGAACCAGAACTGTCTGTGTACTGCGCCTACAAGGAGTCCAATTCCATGTCTCAGGAATCGAACCCCCACACTGCGGTTATCAATAATGCATGAGATAACTTTACTCCTGTACTTTGCACCACTGAACTATCATGCGTGCCAAACATAGTATGTTTGGTATACAACATTAGATAAAATCAAATGGGATTTGAACTTTGTTCCTAAATAGACTCTACTAGTAGGAATTAGAGTTTTCCATGCTCAAAATCATTTGTAAGCTTAAGATAGTAAAAAATTGAACAAATGGACACATTTGATAAAACTACTGAGAAAGTGAAATTGGACTAGTCAGAACCACGTCGATCAATTAATGGGGTCAATCAATTAATTGCCTCTGCACTAGTTAGAAATTGTTGGGATTTCACATTAGTAGGAATATAAGTCAAAACATCTTTCGGATGAGTTCTAACTATTGATAAGGCGGTTATACTTCATTCACCTGAGATAGAACTTGATTTAGTAGCTCTTTCTAGAAGGCGTGAATGCACGCAAAAAAATCCCTTGTTTGAAAATGTATAAAATAGAAGGAAAATATGATTTCTCAAACTTGGAGCTTATCTTCATTTTCGCAGCAATCCCAGTTTGAACGGTGTTTACTCTTAATACCAATTATTGGAAAAAGAATCCCAACATATGTTGACTTATTCGCATCATGAAAGCCAAAACAACACGGTGACACATAATTTACACTATAAGTAGATGATGAACGTCTTAGATCTATTAAATATTAATCCTATTTGAGTCAAGTTTTCACTCTACTAACCAAGATTTCGCCATAAGGCAAAAATCACATAGATCCATGTGTTATTTTGTTGGAATTTTTTTTTATTGGAAATTGGTTGTGACCAATTTTAAATGATTGTTTAAGTGGAATTCGTTATTTTC